GATAATAAATGGCATCCCATTATTACAGCGCGTTTTCAAGTGGAGCGAGTTGATTGTTTCAACCCTTGTCACAAATGACTGCGCAAAAAGCCTATTGTATTAAATGTCCCCTTTTTTAAACTTAATTAGGTTAATAAATCCATAGAATAACTGATATGGCTGCTGCAGGAATCAAAACTGTTGGCGAATTTGAGCATGCTGACTGGCCGTGCTAATCGAGCCGGCTGCCTAGACGCACGCTGCTATCTGGGGCCCAGGCAATCCCTTCTCTCTGACACCACCGCACCTTTGTTCAACGATGTTGTTGGCAGTTATTTGTGCGCGGCGGAGGCGAGGAAACGTAACGAATGTATCGCCTGCCGTATTCCTCCGGGGTGCTTCCACGATAATTAGTTGTTCCAAGGGGTAGCAAGCCCAATGTAATTTATCAGTGCTGCGCTTAATAATATCCATGTTCACACGTGCGCAGACTTAACCCAAGGCCAGGCCTTCGCTTTTGATTCAGAAGTGTGCCGTTTGTGCTGGCTGTTTTCACAGCCACTTCTGGCCTCATTCAGGCTGCTTCTCCAGAGAGGCAAGGGAGCTTGATCTGCTTGTGCAGCCCTGCATATGCTGTTTCCTTTGCGTTGGACTAGGATTGCTTAATACGTGAAGGGAGCAGCTGGGCCTGGCACACATGGCGAAACTAAATGGAATTCCGCGTGCGTGTCTGTTGGTGTCATTGCACCTTGTCCATTCTGCTTCTTTTCTGTGAGCTCTCGAGAGAAGCTGGCCTTAGAGCTCTCATGGCTGAATTGGGTGTTTTTTTTGGTGTGTGTGTTTGTGTGTGGGGAGCGGTAGTGTAGCGGTTAGCGCGCTATGCTACTAACCCGGCGACCCGAGTTCGATTCCCGCTCACGGCCAACACCAGTGACGATTATCTGAACCGGTCCTGGGCCTCCCCTAGGTCGACTCAGCCTGAAATGAGTACCTGGTGTGGTGTGTAAACATCGCCACTGGGGAGACAAAGGCGGTCGGGCGTGGTGCTGGCGTGGTGCTGGCCACCCACCCCCTCGTGTACCATTCCGGTCTTCATAGGTGCTCGCTAACAGCACTTGCCCCTACAGTCTGTTAAGGCTATACGGGGGATCTTTTATCTTTGTGTATGCGAGGCCGGTCTTCATAGGTGCTCGCTAACAGCACTTGCCCCTACAGTCTGTTAAGGCTATACGGGGGATTTTTTATTTTTGAGGCCATGCACAATGCTGCAATACCAGCAACTTGGGGTTTCATTTATCACATGATTGGAACACATTTGGAACTTCGTGTCCAGTCTGTTTTTAAGACTTTTTAAAGATTCACTTTCTAAAGATCTGCTTGATCCGAGGTGGCCATATGGCTCACAGACCACAGCGTCGAGCTGAGCTTGCATGTTACAGATGATGTAGGAATTTCCCCAAAAACCTGCGATTTACAAATCATCCTTTAATTTCGTGCAAAAAAGTAACTCGCAACACCATCTCATTACTGTCCCAAATGGGAAGAATGGAGATCCTATCTCTGGCCCCTCGGATCAGGTCTGCAGATTTAATAAGTATTTTTTTTTATCATGTCTTGGGGGAGGGAGAGCCACTCGGCCCAAACAACATCATGGGACAGGTGATGGATAACCCTGCAGAGGTTGAGGATTTTCAAAGGTTGGAGGATGCATCCCCCTCCCCCCCATTGACAGTGGCTGTCTGATCTCCATGAGTGATGGGGTGGATGCGGAGCAGGTGGATGAGTTCCCATACAGGACAGTGTGCTAATGGCCAGCTCCATTGAGTGGCACGTGTCTCACGCTGATTGGTCGAGTGGCATTTGCTTTTCATCGTCTGTCTTAATGCTGTGTTGAATCTGCCTGGTTTGTCACCCGAAAAATCCATGTCCTCTCAATCAAAATAATGCCTTTTACAGAAACACCTGTGCTAGCTTGAAATAGTCAGGGTACTTTGTCTACGATCCATCCTGGTTTAACCAAGCTGGATTGTGTGAAGAGCTTAGAAAGAGCCTTGAAAGATCTGGACATGATTCCATCAATGGGCTCCTACAGTCTACAATGACACATTGGCTGGGTCGTGTAGCCTGCATACCCAGCCACCACGTTACAGCAGATTTTGTTTGGCCGGATAGGGGGGCTAAACAGGCATGGCACAGGCTAGAGCAAAGATGGGCTGATGTGGTACAGGAGGACTTGGAGATGAGTTAACTCACCAACAACTGATACCAGCGGTGGCACGATCAGCCGCTGTGGAGAAGCTTCATGAGAGGCACTGCTTGGCAGTTGGAGGCAGTCTCCCTCCGGCAAAAATGAGAGGCGGAGGGGCGATGCAATAAGCAGAGCGCCGGGCGGCTAAAATGCATCAAGTTGGCGTAGTGGCAGAGCGCAGGTGGTGCATCCGCCAGTCATCTCACTCATTTAACCCATAACCATAACACCTGTGTCTGCTCCGTGACCTTCTACCAGCTCGCCTACAACTGTTGATGTGGCTTCAAGAGTGCACCAAGCCCCCAATCCAAGCATCGTGCTCATGTAACCACCAATTTGTGGTCAATGGCGGTTTATGTTGCTTTCTTGAAAATGTATTTGTGTTGTATTGCGTGTGTTGCATGCGTTTTCATGTGTGTTTGATTGTGTTTGTTTGTATGTATTTTGTTACAATGGGAACCCAATTTCCGAACCTTTGTTCTAAAAACATGGAAAACCTGGGTTTGATGCCCAGCAATTAACAACGTTCGTGACAAATGGTATCTGACACTTTTTTTTAGTCTTCCCTAGGTCAACTAAGCCTTAAATGAGTACCTTGTTACAATGTGTAAACAATGTGCACTAGGCCAGGCTTGTTGCTGGCCACATTACCCCATCCTATGCCATGCTCTCCTCAATCACTGGTTTCTAACAACACTTTCCAGAGCAGTCTTTATGGCTATACGAGTGATTCTTGTGGCTTTGCTTCACGTGTGTGTCGTCTATTGGGTTTATGTTGCATGTGAGCGTCTATTCAATTGTGCTTGTTATTTACGTCTTGCGAATGTGTGCGTGTGCGCGCGCTATGTGCGGATCGGTCGTGTAAGTGGTTAGTGCACTGATAGACCGGGTCATCAACGAGTGGAGGAAGGGGATTGCCCTCTGAGCAGACTGGAGGGTAGCATTGAGAGCACCGAACACTGGAGATGTCGACGCTGATGTTGACGCTGTCGTCTGGCTGGGCCAAGTGGCGCATGCACCGGAATACAAAGAATTGCTCCTGAAACAAAAAATACTTTTTTCTAGATTTGAAGCTTTCGTGACTGCAAGGATTCATACTCATTTTTTCGGTAAAGTCACGTAGGTAAAAAATGAAATTAAAATGAATAAAAATGAAATTAGAAAAAATCACGACGTTTCGGAGGCAACACAAGTCTCCGTCATCAGGTGGGACCGTCACAGCCAGATTTGCTGTATCAAGTGAGGCAGGGATTCCAAGATGCAAGTTCTTAAATACAAGTTAAGGGGGAGGAGAGGGGGGGAGCTTATCAGAATGTGGTAGCCAATGAATGGAACGTATCGGGAGGGGGGTGGGATAAAAGAGAGCACGAAAAACGACTTTGCACTGTTTGCAGCGATGTGCAGTCCCTACAGGATATTGTGAAGTGTCCGAATAAATGATTGTGGCGATATCTTTTTTGTGTTCTGCTTTTATACTCGTTGACCTTAATTGGGCTGTCACCTGGTATTTAATCCATGACGAGTTGACCTCAAACATGCCCCCGCAATGTAGCGAGTCGATATAAATGAAGCCCTCGGTGGGAGATTTATGTTTAGTTAAGTTGGGTAACTTCTCACTCGCTGATAGTTCCATGCTGGTCTTCATGTTGTGTTCATTAGGTTTTTAGCTCGGGTTTTGATTATTGTCTTGAGCAAATTATTTGTTGGTGGTGGCTCTTTGCTGTGTGTGCCCTTTCCATGGTTTTCCTGAAGATGAACTCAAGTGCGTTATTGCGTTAAATGAAGTGGGTGACAAAATGCTTCTGTAAGATGCTGTTGCACAGCTAAAACCTGAGATGAGTGCTCAATTCAGATTTTCTGATTTGATACTGGGAACTCTATCAATACTGCCCTCGGATTTTCCAAGTATCCGTACTTCAAACCGATTAAATCTTTCCCGGACATGAATGAATACAATGTGCAGAAAAAGAGGCCACTGGAATGGACAAAAACATTTCTTCTCGTTGTGGTGGGCGCGTCTCATCTCTTCATCCTTAGCTGCGTGGTGTGTGCGTTTGTGCTTTATTTCCTTGTGTTTATGTCAGGATCCACGCTGGTCCACATCCATTACTCCCCCCCCCCCCCCCCCCCCGGCATCAGCTGCCATGGAAGAGGAGGGCTATTGGCCGAAACGTCGCCTATAATATGCTTCTCCTTTCACGGCCACAGTGTTATGGAAATGCGTTGAGTTTTTGTTGTTTGTACTTGTGCATCGCTGCCAATGCAGCGGCGTTGCCAACTAATTTGTTGCATTTCAATGAAGAGTTTGCCGTGGCGGAATCCTCTTTACAGGAAAGGTCGCCTCGTCTAATCGTTTTTGCTTTGAGCTGCACGCTTGTCTGTGGCTGTGTGCGCATTGTTATACGAGTGGGGAGCGGTCGTATCGTGGTCAGTGTGCCGCGCTACGAACCCGGTGACCCCAAGTTCGATTGCCACTCACTGCCAACAGCAGTGACGATTATGTGAACTGGTCCTGGGCCTCCCTTAGGTCAACTTGGCCTCAAATGAGTACCTGGTGCAGTGTGTAAAACATCGGCACGAGGGAGACAACGGCGGCCGGGCGTGGTTGCTGGCCACCCACCCCCTCGTGTGCCATTCTGGCCTTAATAGGGGCTCGCTAACAGCACACGCCCCAACAGACTGTTAAGGCTATGAGGGGGGATTTTTGTCTTTGCATTGTTATATTGGGGATCGTTGTCTTTACGTGCATTGTTTGTATGTGTTCTCCCTGCAGGAGAGGCTCACCCTGGCCTGTGAGCGGGGATGCCGTCTGTTCTCCATCTGCCAGTTTGTGGATGATGGCGTGGATCTGAACGGCACACGCTACGAGTGTCTGGCTGGTGAGTCTTGCTGCTGTGCACGCACACGCATAACATTTCCTACCTCCCTACTCTCGTCCCTTGGGAGCAGGGGCACGGAGCTGACAGCTCTTGGACCCTATCTAGCCCCTGGGCCATTTCATATGGGCCACGAGAGGCCTGTCACTTCGAAATGGCCAGAAAATTATGTATTCATCATCACCGGAAGCATCGTTGCTGCTTGTATAAATCCTGAACTGCGATAGTAATCCGACATCCATGTGTTGGTGAAAGGGAAGCCGTTGCAGCATCGCAGTACGGGCCCTAATTATATTTTGCGTTATTATTAGATAATGCCAAAGGGGTGTGGTAATGTGTAGCCTGCCAAAGGTTCTTGAAAATCCTATTGGACCCTGAGATGGGAACCGGTTTCCCTACCCTGATTTAGAACATGGGTATCAGAGTTATTGGAGCTGCAAGGCACTCCAGCTGACTCTGCAAGTTGGTCGACTGCATCTTTAATGCGTGGTCGAGGAACGGTTTGCAGCACTTGCGGCATAACCAGCAGGCAGGGGGAGGTTGGGGGGTAGATTGGTGTGCACGGGAACCAAATAGCGGGGCTGTGGGCCACGCGGAAAAGCATTTGTATTTTGCCGTGGGTCGTACGCATGGTAATGCGGCCCAGCGGCACGCGAGTACGACACCCCGCGATACAATAAACCTACCCCCCCCCCAAAGTAATGAAGGGTTGAGATGTGGGAATAGAATTTGGCGTCTAATGATCGTAAAGCCGCCACTCTCCACGCCTGAGCTACCTTGGCAGTGAATGCGGCTGATGTGTAGGGCGCGTGTTTTATGCCGCCATATGTTTCCGTTGGCGCTATTGGCTCTTCCGAAGTGAATATTACAAATGAGTTGATAGGTTCTAATTTTAATAAAAACAAACTGAATCGTTGCACAGCCGTCACGGTGGATTGTTTCTAATTCAATAATAAACGCGGCGGCGTCTTTATCATTGCCAAAAGAAATAACGGGCGACGTCTAATTTTAGAAGCGAAACCCTGGTCTGATTATTATTTTATTAACCACGATCCATATCGACATAGCAATGCTTTTTTTTTACGCGCTTTTGCTGCGCTGCACTGAATGTTCCCGAAGTGTTCATTGTCAGCGTTTAACAATCGTGCCGGGCAACTTGGTGGCATCTGTTGGACAGGTTCACCACACACTGCTGGTGAGCAACATGAAGTTGAAATCGTGGTTGAGGACCCCCCTCCCCATGCCGTGCAGGCAGTGAGCGTTGTATGACTTCACCGCGATGGTTTGTGCAGTTGGGGGGGGACTACAGAACAACGCTGTATTTTGCTGCATTGCCCTCTGCTGCCCGCAACGCCTACTGCACATGTTTAAGGGGCAGGGTGGTGACCCATCCAAGGACCATCCAGCCTTAACCCAGCTTAGCTTCTGATATCTGATGAGTCCAGTAATAAAGTGTAAAGCGTGTTCCAAGGCAGATGTAAACAAATATATTTTTCTTTCAGAATGTGTGACGAATGTTGCTCTGGGAAGTGATCCGATAGTTCTGAGCCTAATAACAACGAAATTCTTGATGTGTGTTGAGATCGGCTTGTGGCAATAAACGTTTGGTGTCGTAAGTTGTTGATATCAGGTCAGAGCCAACAGTGAATATGCAGCATACAGTAAAGTACAGGCATAGCATCAAACTAACGTGAATATCATCCGCTAAAATGTAATAAGCTGAAATTTATATTTTTTGTTGTTAGGTAAAAGTGCTCGTTAGTAAACCTGAAAGAGTGATCCTCAAAATGCAGCTTAAAGCTCTCTACAACGCCGCGAGAGCGCTCGCGACGACGCCACGTTGACCACTAGGGAGGGGGGAGGTCGGCCTGTTCCAAGACGCTTTGCATCGCTGCGCGTGGCCTCGGAGTGCTCGAGCGCCGCTGTCACGAGTAACGGTCACCCTCTAGCCCCTTGCCTCTCAACGAACATGGGGGAGGTGGGGTTGAGAGTTCAGTGCGCGGGTAGAAACAAAAAGAAACAGACTCGTTTGTGGTCAACTTGGATTTCCGCGGTGTGCGACATGTGCGATCGAATCGCGTTGGTTGCTTATCGTCGGTCGTGTAGGTTTCTGTTCTAAGTGGGACCCATTCACTTGGTTTGGATGGTGACCGTCAAATAATTCTCAATCCACAAGCCTGCAGATTTAATCGTGATGGATTCGCATCGGATTTTAACGTATTGTATCATAATGTATCGTGCAATACTGCACTTTTAGACTTCAATAACAAGAGAGTAGTGTTAAGTTACTTTGTTGTTTACGGAGTACAAAAACATAATTTATGCAGTGAAGGCTTACTTAATCTCAATCAAACAGTGTTATATAAGGGTCTTGCATTTACATGTTTTGCCAATTCCATTTTAAGAACTTAATTTAACATGTGGGTGGAAACCAGAGTACCTAGAGAAACCCCACAAATACAAATTGCTAACACTTAGAGGTCTGCACAGACAGCGATCTGTGAATCCACATTCATACTGACGTGGCCTGGTGCCGTCAAGCAGCCCTTAGTGAGTCTAAATGGTTTTGTATTGTGTTTTTGATGGATCCGGTAATTAAGATGAATAGACTCGGGTAAATAAGTGATAGATGGCTACACCCATTGGTAGAGTGGGAGAGAAGGTTGGGCTCCAGAAACTCAATAATAGGGGTATCCCTAAGTGATGACGTTGAGAAGAGCATTACCAAAGTGTGTTAGAGAATGCATTACCATTGAACGTGGGCATCGTTTTATTCACATGGAAGTGTAAGCATTGCGGTTTCGTATTACTCGAAGCCTGTATGCCAACCCATGTGGCAAAAGATGATGCTCAAGAAGATCATCGTGTTCACACACAGCACTGCCACAGCACTGCCACTATAGCTGTGTGATATAACTCTTCCTGTGAAGCACTGACAACGAAATCGCACAATTAAACTTACTGTTATTGGCACTGTTAAGCTGATTGTAGTGGATTCCATTAATATGCACATGGGTGTAATGAGGGTCTGGCATCTTAAACTTTGGTGTAACGCATCGAGTGCAACGTTGCATATCCGACCGTCACATATCTGCCATGACCAATTAACTGCCCATACCCAGTGCAGTGTTTGTGCACGGTGTAATTGTCATTTGCTATAGGCGATCACAAATATGTCCTTGTTGCATACTGATTATTCGGCTCGTTTAAATTCGCTTACTTATAAGGTGCAGTGAAGTGTTTTCCCAGGTGTAAAGCAGTTGGTGCTTTTTTTTACCAAGTCACCGTTTTTTTCCCTAAGTCACAATTTTTCCCACGTCATCAATTTAGTTCGAGTCTCCCCCGGTGTGACTGTCATTCCCTGGAGGTGCTCGCGCATCCGCCTTGACCTCGGTCCCCAGCGAGTTGGATACGCGACGTCATGCTGGCGGTTCTTCGAATAGCCAACCCCCTCCAACGACTGCAGATGGTTCAGTCCAAACCGCTGGGGTCAGGTGATATCAATCTGTCAGATCTCACTTCCTTATGTATTCACTTGATCAGCCAGACTGCACAGTCTGGCGCCTTTTCTCAATTTACTTAGCCATGAGCGGAAAACCTAATTTTCCCCAACATTAGCATTAGACATTAGCTTCATACATTAGCATTATACATTAGCCTTTGCATGTTTTTTAAACGTAATTAATTTGGTCAAGTTTTGGCCTCTTACTTTTTTACGTGGTCCGTTATATTCGGCGTTATTTCATCACTATCATTCCAGTTCCAATATCTTCAATTTTTATTTTTTTACACTCTCATTTTATGCCACTGTTTACGGTACAACCTCAGACCAGCCGATGTTGATGGCGCTTGGCACACCAGCACCTGCACTGGCGCTTGGCACAGCAGCACCCGCACGGCGCTGTTGTTTAAAGCTCTGTGCAGATCCCAAGTTGGTTCTGTGTCGCCTTCTTGGCCACACGTCAGAATCAAAATCTTTATTTAGACGGGAGGAGATCCGATGAGCTATGTAGCTCTCTTCTTTTTTTTTTTACAGATGTCCAGTAGGGGTGGGTCAGCAAGTTGTAACAAAATATTGAAGTACAAATTGCATAAGTACGTACATTCATGCCGATTTTTCATGAAAAAATGCAAGCTCGGGCAAGGCAACAACATAACAACAATAACAGTCTCATACCACATCACGACAACACGCCTCCCTCAATAAAATTGCACATTAAAATGTAACTATCCATACACTGTTGACAACGATCAGAGTTACAAATCACATTGGCAAATGTGGTTGGATCCAGCACTGACTCATCTTCTGCTTCAAAGATATGTTTTTTTTAAGTAAGATTTTACGATGTCAAGGGAGGAAAGAACGCGTGCTGCCCGGCCGCCTCGTTATATGAAACCGCAGCTGTCTTGGCGGAAGGTGTTGTGGGAACAGCCGCGCACCACAAGGACCGCAGAAGTTCAAGGAGAAGGCCCGGCATCGTCGCCACCTCGGGGCAACGAGGGAAAGGCATTGAACGCTGTTCCTCTAGCAACGTCCACATCCCAAAGGGGGCGGGGGGGGGGAAATCTATAAATAAATCCATCGCGCGGCAATTCTGCTTGCGTTTGCAGCGTCATTGGCACTTAACGATGCGTTGTGTCAGCGTTCGATATAAAATCGATTCTCACGCTTACGTTGCACGCGTAGAATCGTGCGTGTAGGGATACATTGTTGCTTCTTTGCATGTGTTGACTTTAATCGCTCCGTCTGCATTCCATCAGCCACTACCGGTGCTGCATTCACCGCTGTCAGAAAAACACATTTTCGTCAATGCAGACGATGGAATTGAACGAATGGAATGAGACCCTGACCACCTCTGAAAACCAGATTGAATGGAATGAGACCTTGAATTGTGAAAGGTTCATTTAATTGTGACGAGTCGCATAATTGCGAGGGGGTGGGGGGGGGCTAATCGTTAAGTGTCTATAAAGGACTCAGCCGCAGATCGATGTGAGAGTTGCAGGGTGGGTTGGGGGGCCAGGGGGCTTTTGGCCAGGAGGGGGGATGGCCACCCCCCTAACGATTCCTCCGTACGAGTGCGGAATACACGAGCAACAGATGCCTGGACGTTGTGCCACATTACCATCCTTGGAGAGGAAATTCGTGTTGTCCAGATGGCTTGGCCTGGAGCACACTTCGCATCCACAGCGGGTCGGTACCATGAAGGAGACCCGAGTACGGACACCAGAGCTTCGGGTGGCTGACCCTCGGCTGCGGTGGCTGTTACGGCAGCCTAGGCCAAGCCTGCGCCCTCGGCGTCTCCTGCGTTGGACCCGGCGCTGGCACGCTCCGGCTATTTTTGTTTATCAATTGCCAGGCACAGGTGCAAAGGCACAAAATGCCAAGCAGCCATCAACAAGCATTCGTATTATTGAAGGTATATTCCATGATAGTGCGTGTTTCTTAAGTTTAGCAAAGGTATAAGGAATTGGGCACACATCTAATTCTGCCAAATGCAACCGACTGAGACCCCAGAAGTGCGTGTTACGGTCGATGTCCTCGCAGGCGTTGCAGATGTATCTTCAAGCAAGCTAATCATTGTCTTCCTGCAGGAGAGACCTACAAACCCAAGTACAGTTACTCCTGTGGAAGACATAATCCATCTCGCAGCGCTTCACTTCCTCAATAAATGACATAAAATTATGCAAATTAAAAGTGTCCACCACAGATAATGATCTGTGTTTAGTGCACGAAAAAAGCCCAATTTGTATAATTTCACGGTTTGCATTCCGTGCGGAGTTGGTGAGTGTGCTCGTCTGTTTACGGCCATTGTGGGACTTGGGCGCTTGCAATAATTGTTTAGCATTTTCTCCGCTTGAGGGACAGATGGCTTCACTCCACAGAGCAGAGGCGGTGGTGACGGCGGCGGCGGTGTGTTTGAGATGTGGGCGGCGAGTGGGATCGCTGACGGCGGCAGCAGCGGTGGTGGTGGGGCATGGATTGCAGCTTGTGTGTGCTCAGCAGCCTGGCTGGGAACAAGCCAGCGGCGTTAAGCCCACCTCTTTAATATGCGTACGTTGCCTGTTGTGTGAATGTGAGGCCAAGGAGGGAGATTCAATTCGGTGTCCTTAATGAGTTGCCGAGTAAGAGCCCGGGTAAATGCAAATCACGACCGTTGTTTGTGTGCACGTGCGTGCCGGTGTGTGTGTGCGTGCGTGTCTGAACGCGTGCATGTGTGCAGCTCGGGCGCTCGCTTGGCAGCACTTGCCCCCAACAATTTGTTAAAGGTTATATGGGGGGGGGGGGGGGGGGGATCTTTGTCTTTGTGTGCAGCTTGCATGGAGGCGTACAAGCGAGTGGAGGAGCAGGTGGCATGCAGCACCGGCTGCGACAGCCAGCAGCCCCTGGCTGTCCTCCGCCAAAAACAGGTAGAGACATCTCTGTGCAGCTCTCGTGTGGGTCAGGACGTTTGGTCAGTAGGTCAGAAGGGTACCCTGGAGAGAGAGAGAGGTCAGACCGTGAACGTTGAGGAGACGAGAAAGAGGGGGGGGGGGGCGGCGGTGGAGACTGAAGATGACGTGGCGAGATGATTGCCATGGAGGTGGCGTCGTTCTAACGCTCGGGCCTCACAGCAGGAAGCGCCTGTGTTCGATTCCTGACTTGGGTACCTTTCTGTTCTGCATGGGTTCCTCCAGGTTCTCTGGTTCCCTCCCATAGCTAAAAAAATAATAATCGTAAAATGTAACTGGTATTGGCCAAACATCCCAACGTTTAATTATTACCTGCTACTCAATTGGGATTGCACGTTGTTACATCGCTCCCTACAGCGAAAACTGAAGAGGCTTGAGACTCAGTGAGGCTTGTCTGAGTATGAAAACCAAATGATAGTCATATAAAAACCAAAATAAAGCACTGATGATCGCGATGGATGATCGAAGATTCGTGGAGAGGGCTCGGAAAGCAGGACGCTCGCGAGTGGGAGAAACGTTCGCAAGAAGAAGATGATTTGGGTTGGGAAATAAACTCCTGTTTACGGTCAGCTGGGCAGCCTAATGGGTATTGCACTCTCCTCTCTCATGCAGGGTTCACTGATTGATATAACGCCGCAGAGATATTATTAGCAAGGAAGTGTTCCGTCTCATAAATTATGTGGGTGGTATATACATACACACAAACTCTAGCAATTAAATTGCTTGCTCGCGGCCAGATACTTATCATCAGCGGCGGATGATGCCAAAACATTTGCTGTTGTTTCAGAAAGCCTTTGAGACATTAAGTCCATGTTTAAATGGAAACATCGTGGAAATGCAAGGAAAAGTAATTGGACGGCGATGACGAGGTGCAAAAAACAAGCGGTGCCAAGAAAGCGAGCGTTGCCGAATGTACAGTTCGTGTTGTTTCACGTTCAAAGAAGGAGCCTGAGCAAGACACTTGGTGGTGTCACCCACCGCTGGTTGGGGAAGAGTGGCGTGCGTGCGTGCGTGCGCACGAGGGGAGCGGTGGCACAGTGGCAGCACGCCGCGCTTTGAACCCGGCGAGCCAAGTTCGATTCCCACTCACGGTCAACATCGGTGACGAGTATCTGAACCGGTCCTGAGCCTACCCCTGGGTCGACTCGGCTTTAAATGAGTACCTGGTGCGATGTGGAAACATTTCCGCGAGGGATATAAAGGCAGCCCCCTGCACCTGCCACATCGGCCTTCGTAGGCGCTCGCGAACAGCACTTGCCCCAACAGTCTGTTGAAGACTATACGGGCGGCGGGACCTTTGTCGTTGTGTGCACAGCTGATGTCGATGGTGCCACGCATCCACTTCCTCTACCCACTAACGCTGGTGTCCAGTCTCTGCGGGAACCTCATGAGCTCGGCGCAGTCCTTCATCTCCTCCTCTTGGACATTTTACCTGCAGGCCGATGACGGAAAAGTCGTTGTCTTTCAGGTGAGATCGGCACCACTTGAGGTGAGTTTTATTTTTGTTCGCGCAGTCTGTGACGGAAGTACCTGTCGGTGGAGGTCACCGACACGGCCCGCATCATTAAATTACCCGGAGCGTGGCGGTGACCACCTCTGAAAAGCAGACTGAATACAAGTACTTACGTGTAATTTATCTTGGTCGGCGGACACTATCTATGGATTGTAATTATAAAGCGTGATGGTGATTACTTTACCCACCGAAGACCGAGGCATGACTCACCGTGACGAGACAAAATTAATTGGCCTGATTGAAGATGCAGGCTAAGATATTTTAGGGACGTCATCAGAGACAGCGGTGTACTTAGGGAGACCAAGCATGGTAAGTGGCTACGTATGTACATTAAACAAACGATTGAATTCACCGATTGACTAACCTCATAATTTTGGGGAGGTGCGATGAAATGCATGCACCTCACACCAATATTTAATAGCTTGAGAGTGGACTAATTGAACGCTGAGGTTTTCACAGCCAATGCGGGCGCCTTCAGGAGATGAATATCCGATTGAAGATGCCGGCAGTAGTGCGTGGCGAAAGCTCGAGAGTAGAAATACACGATGTGAAACCCAACCCAGACAATCACGTTTGGGAGAGTAGACTGAAGTATTTTGACTGCTCTCGTCGACGACTACATGAGAGCCACAGACCAGGACATGCCTAGAACCCCCCACAGGTTGTTGTCGTCGACCCGACAGAGACTTCAAATGAAATTGTAAAATGCTGATGAGATTTGTCACCGGTCCTGCGTGACCTGTGCATGGGCCAAGCACTTCCACAGTTCAGAGAAGTCGATGTCCAACAGAATCCTTGAAACTTGAGGCTGTCTGTTCAGGGGACTTTACCTGAAAGTGCTATTGCGGGAGACTACGAACACGGAGTTTTAATCTGCGTTCAACGGTTTAGAATTTTTGCCCATATTGCCCGTCGTCTTTGTCTCGTTCAACGGTGGATATTCCAGCATTTAATAACGTCTGGAGATTTAGTAAAGGTTTCAGAATTTAATTGGCTTCTCTTTTGCCCTCGAGGCTGGTGTGAAAAGGGACATCAAAACCAAATATCAGTTTCAAACGTATAGGATTTATAAAATTACTGAAATATAAATAATTAATGGGGATGTATATTTATTTCTTAAAACTTGATTATAATTAGTTTAGGACACTATACTGTCAGCTATCATTTCTCACTTTGCTCTGTGAAAAACATTACACTTGAAATGGCTCATTACCGTTTTGGATGATGTTTTCCCATAAAAGCTGTATACTTTGTCAGCTGACTGTGACAGGTCTACCAGTGATGGTACGAAATATAGCTCTGGTTAGGGTTAAGGTTAAAGTAATTGTGAGTGCAAGGGCTGTTGTACAGGGCTTGGGTTAATATTGGAGTTGGTGTGTAAGGATAGAATTAAGAAAAGCCATTTGAAGGCTCGGATTAGAGAAAGGCCTGGAGTTACATTGGTTATGGCCAACAAAAATTGGGGTTGCGGCTCGGATTAAGGTTCTAGTTAAGCGTTAGGGATTAAATTAAAGTTCAGCTGGGATGAATAAAGTGTCAAAATGTAACCTTATCTGAACGGAATATAGAAGCGTGGGTGTAACGTGTGTATCTCGAGGGCTGGTCGGTAAAAGGGAGGAGTTTATGTTGTTGGTTAGTTGAGGTATGTTTAGTTTCAGCGGTGGAGCTCTGGCTGTGGTTAGTGTTAACGTTATTGAGCTTAAAGCCAGTCGTGAGGTCATGCCGTCTGTGTCGCCTCCTTCGGCGGCTGAAACGAACCGGCAACAACTGCGGAACCCTGGGCTCTGTTGTTTTGCCCTTTGAAATGTCTTGTGTGGGTGGCAGGCATTAATGCACGAGGCAGCGTTTGCAACCAGAGGTGTTGCTGTTCATAGAGCGTTTGCTGCTGCTGCAGCATGCTTCCAGAGTAGCTGGCTTCCCTTGAACTGCAGAAAAAAATGACCTCGTCGCACTGCATTTAATATCGAGTCCTTCGTTAATTATTAAAATGCAATTATTGAGAACGGCAATAAATCTCCAGCTATCCATAACTGCGCTGCTTTTTTGGCTGGCAGGTGTGTTTATTAATAGACTAACCTGGACACGTATTATGTACATTACTCAGCATATGCATACTTAAAACGGATTACAATTACAATAAATTAGAGTTATACAGATGGGAGACTCAACGCAGGCATTGCGTGTGCAGTCCCTTATTTTATTGTTGTGTTTGCCCCATTTGTATGTGAACATTATCCGTGTTAATCATCATGTTTTGTAGCTCAATATATTCTACCCTGCATTTTTGTTTGTCTCTCTGTTTTGTACGTCTCGGTGTGTCTGTTTTGAGCTCGTTTCTGCACCATCACCTGTACCCCCACCGACACTCACACACGTCACCTACCTCATTACCCATTCACTATTCTGCTCCATCACCCCCACCATCAAAGACAAATATCCCCCATACAGCCGTCACAGACTTTTGGGGCAAGTGCTGTAGCGAGCACCTATGAAGGCCGGCACGGCATAAGAAGGGGTGGGTGGCCACTACCACACCCGGCCACCTTTATCTCCCCAGCTGATGCTTATACACTACCCTAGGTACCAGTGCTCCCCGGCAACCTAGGGAGAGCACTGGTGTTGGCCGTGAGCGGGAATAAAATGTCAGTCGTCAGGTTCGTAGCGCAGTGCACTAACCACTACAGTACCGCTCCCCACCCCAACACCACCACTCTATCACCATCATCAACTACATTGAACACGTATCTTGCAGGTCTCCGCAATTGGCTGGACTGCCATGTGATCAATTAAGAATACTTAGGAATGCATCAGCGAGTCATCTACACACACGATGTGTTGATGTTTGTGTCTCCATGCCTCCTATTGTGTTGTGTTTGCGTTCTTATCACTGTCCGGTCTTTATGCGCGTTAAACCGCTGTGGCCATGTGTGTGTCAGTCCCAACCGGAGCTGGAGCTGGAGATCCCGAACCTGCACTTGGCTTTTGGAGGGCTGATGGCCGCTTCCCAGCAGAGGGAAAAGCTCGACCAGGATTTCCTGCCCCGTGAGTAGCGACCTACCCACTCAATATTTAATTCATTGCGTCTACGTTTTCAACAAAACCAAGCGGAGAAAAACAACCGGGATACCGAAGGTTGCCACGTCCTGGTAAGAATTGATCTAAGCATCGGCCGAGTTGCGATCTAAGGCAGGAAAGAGAAGCGGAGGAAAGAGAGAAAAGAACAAAGAAAGAATAGCGAGTAACGGGTGGCAGCGTGGTGGCACGGTGGTGACACTCGTGCCTCAAGGCACAAAGGACCTGGGTTTGAATACCAACTCGGGTGCCTTTCTGTGTGGCGTTTGTAAATTCTCCCCCTCTTCCGCATCGGTTTCCTCGAGTGTTCTCCGTTTTTTCTCCCATAGCTAAGAAAAAAAATCCCACACAATGCACCTGGCATCGGCCAAACATTCCCATGCTGAGAAACAACCTCTTAAAAAGTACTCACTTTGGATCACACACAGCAGCAGTTCCAGCAACACAGCTGCGTATTGTGAATTAAATTTGGCAGGATCCTCCTGAAAAAGGTCTTGAGACTCAGTGAGGCTCTCCTGGGTAAACGAACGTGATCACGTTAACAAAGCACACATTGGGGGTGAGATGATGAATCCAGCATTGGCGGGGAAAGAAAGGGGAGAGTACACCTCGGGTTGGCTTGAGCTCTGCGCAAAAAGCGCCAAAGCTCCTTCCCAATCGTTAGGTTGCCACGGACGATGATGTGTAAAGTGCCATTGCAGCTTGAACCTTATCTCAGAATACCAGGTTTTCATGCCACAGCATGGGCACACATTTGGCAGGCTGCGTTGACATTCAAGACAATAACAAGAGATACATTCTCCTCTTGCTAAAATGGTTCCCTGGGAAAAGCGGCCCTAAATTTCAAAGCAAATTTTTGCAAATGCATTAGCAGCATGAATTCACAATGAGTTTAAATATTGCATACATCAATCTGCATGTTAAACCTGCAAACAAATGTTTTGAAAAACGACTTTCCTGGAAACGTTCTATAGTTACACTTCAGTTGGGTACAATACAGTTGACATGATCGGCAGGTCACCTGTGCTGGGGTAAAATGTTACCTTCCAAGTGTGGAAGAGTAGGCCAATATCCTATAGAGAAGTTCCCTTGAGCTCCCTCGAGTGGAGGGCCCTTCCGCCAGCAGCGGTGTGAGCGTGACATTGCAGGGCTGCACCTTTGCCTCTTCACTCTTTCCACTTAACCTGCGTTTCCCTCGCTTCCATTTTCGTACCTATCTTGAGTATTGTTCACATTTCCTAACCAAAATGAAATTGTTCTTTGTGTTATTTAGATCTTTTCGTTATTATCTCTCATGAAACCGTGGCTCACCTATACCAACTTTGTGGAAAATTGCCACACGTGATGTATTTGAGCACTTTTGTAGAATGTATGAATGTGGCCTCGTGTCACGGAGCTTCAAATAACATTCAGGACAGATTTTAGGGGAGCCCAGGAGAGCTGAGAGAACAGTGATAGGAAACCAGACGAACTGTCTCTGCATACGACTGATAAATAGGACAAAAAACCTGTGGAGCAAAGGAAGGAAAGAGAAACACGGAGCATAGAGTGATGGAAAGCATTCAGCATTTAGACTGCAGAAATCCGATGAGCTATGAAGCTCTTTTTCAAAGATGTCAATTAGACCGAGCAGTGGCACACCGTTTTCAGAGAAGGAAGGTTTTGTGAGGCTGCTTTGACAGCTCTGCTGCCAGCTTTGTACCAATGACATTGGGATCGGCATTGACGCAACTGAGGCTCATCGCGATTACCGATGAACGCCGGGATATCTAAGCCTCAGCGCAGGGTCGTGTACGCACTCAACCGTGCATTGGGTTCATCGGTTATCATGAATGGTTGCGCTCGTGATGCAGGCATTGAAGATGTGAGTGTAAGAATCAATTTATGTAGCATTTTTGTAAATCTTACACAAACGACGCGCTAATGTGACGTTTGGGCTAATGGAGTGAAATAACACTAAAAATGAGACCAACATAAAAAAATAAGGTGGTAAAAACTAGACAAAAGAACATCTTGGATTTTTTTTAGTGATATCACCACTCGGAATTGTGCGAATTCTTAGAATTTGTGGGGAGGTTTTGGAGTTAGGTGAATCATTAACTGTCTGGTAGGTAGCTTGTGTGCCAGCCATCCCACTCGGTTAACCCATGACACCCTCGGTGGGTTCTGTGAGCCCCCATGAGCTTTCGGCATTCCACATGGCCTCAAGTACAACTGAGTTTGCGGAATTTCCTGGGTGACGTAGCTGCTGTTGTTGCTGCCCTTATTGATCATGGGAGTATTGATAATGATGATGATGCCAAGAAAGCATTGCAAACTGGCTCTGGCTTTATTGATATTTTCTTGGTTAATATCAGTAGGGAGAATGCTGTATTGATCCATAATGTTTTTTGGGGTATTGCCACTGAGAATTATTTATGCCAAAATTCATTTTACATTGAGCCCTTCACCACCTGACAAGATTGTCATGTTTACACAGATATTATTTATACGTGGCCGATGTGTTGACCAAATTCTGCCCGATCAAGCTCCAGCTCACCCGGTGGCTTAGGATATTCTCACGGCTAAATTTAACTAGAACTTACGGCAGCGATTTTCGCTGAAATTGCTTTGGTCTTCTTCGGATAGTGGCACTCCGAAATCAGGTGGTAGAGGGGTAACGGTAAGAATGTCGGCCTATCCTTTAAACAAATATGGATCATTGTATTGGTTACTAAACCTCCATTTCGTAGCCAATAATTGCTATATCACAAACCCTGAAAATTAACCATTTGCATTTACATTCCTTATGCCAGTCCATTGTTGAATGAGGGCCCCCAACACCATTCAATTCATGGGGGGGTTATTTGACCATACCTCGCCAGCATAGTCAGTGCAAGTTGCTTAAAGTGGGGAGCGTGGAAGTGGGAGCATAGTGCAATACAACGATGGATGTTGCTGCACTTCCCTCTGTGGTCCACCCACGGAGCCCTACAGCCCTATGGCCGTCTGCTTGTGCGTGGGGTCGATCATCCAAGCACCTTGTCAAGCTCAACCCTACTTGGATGAGAACTGAGTGCATTCCAGCCAATTTTATCAGAGGCCATTCACGGACACGCATGCATTATTTCTAACGTGAATGATGTTTATACAGTTTGTCGCGTTTCAGCTGATGCAACCAAACGGGTGGTGGGGGGGGGCACGCCCAAACTGAACACAAATGTGGTGGTGGTGGTGGTAGGAAAAATTGTTGTCGGTGGAGGTGGCAGCCGGGCGGCTTCTGTGTAGGGACAGCGGGGGTGGGGTGGTGGTGGGGTGGTTGTGTTAATGCGCTCAGGCATGTGGGGAGGCGTATTTCAGTGGAGAAGCCCCTTGAGTGATGCCCGCTGCAGCCATTTGGAAATATTGGCTTTTCCAGATGATTGACGTTGAGGTAGTGTTCGCTGCGGCCACGTGGCCCATAGCTCGTCATCTCATCGCGCCGGGCACTGCGAGCAGATCCTCCCCAGGGCCGCTGTCGACGCACGCCGCCAGAAAAAGAGGTCATGTGCGTTTTTTTATTTCTTTGCTTTTTTAATGCCACCATTTTTTTTCAAAGCCCCCTGACAACTTCCAAGAGTAGCGTTTCATATTTTTTTTTTTTTTACACTGAATTACAAAAAAATTACCGATTTGGTTTTTATGAATTTCTAGAAAATATATTTGTCTGGGGATTTTTTTTCTTCTTCCCTTTTTTATTTGAACCAATCAATCTGTCTACTGGTTTTGTAATTGTAACGCTTCTTGTCTGGGCCAGGGTTTAATTTCAGCTGGGTCTGTCTATGCCGGCGGCCAATCGGAGGTTATGGGGGAAGGATGGTGAGGGAAGCTATATTCAGAAGAAAGAGATGTAATTACAAGCGATGTGAGAAATAGCGATAGGAAAAGGATATGATTCAAAGTGATATACGAATTATAAGCAAAAGAGAATTATCAGAGAAAATCGATAGATGTATTCAAATTAGAGACGTAAAAGAAAGACTAGAGATGTTGTATGAGAGTGGGAAAGTAGAAAGATGTAATCAGAAGTGATCGGAGAGATGTAGAGCCGCATGGTGAATCACGTGTACAGCAGCACTGCTGTCATCACTGCTCAGGCCAGCACCTCTCCACCGTCTCGCATCACTGCAGAGCTCACATACTGCTAAAGAAGGCCAACTTATTTTTTTACAGAGCGATGAGAAATAATTAAATTCGTTAATTTAATATCAAAGCTTTGGGTGCCGTGAGCCAGATTAAATGAGTTGGCGGGCCGTATTTTTTCCGCGGGCTATAGTTCAGACGGTTCTGACCTGACCTGCGACAGACACAGTGGAGAAATTACTTCCAATTTTTCGGTGACTGACAGCTGCTGTGTGAACGCATGAGCGAGTGGGGAATTTGTGTGTTTGTGTGAGTCTGTCTTAAGCCTTCTGGGTTCAACCACAGGGCCACGCAACTGTGCGTGCCCGGGCGTACGTCCACTAAGACGAGTGTGCTTGCGTGGGATTTCACTCGGCAGCAATCATCGTCCCCCACCGGCAGACTGGCAGTTTGCAGGCCAGGCACTCGGTCGCCTTGTGCCCACAGGGACAACTGCCACTGGGGGAGTCCTCTAAATCCTTTGTGTTTAGTTTGCGGTCCTTCCCCCGCACCTCCGATTAGCGTGGTTGGCTACGTACGGTGCGAAAGAAGTTCAACATACATGCATAAGGTGTCATGTAAAAGGCTCTGAAACACCCCTGGCATAAAGGAGGGCGCTCTGTCAAAAACATGGTGAGAGAGTGCATGTGCACACACTGATGTTGAATTGTTAAATGATGTTAATATTTACCATGCATGTATTAATCACGTACACATTTCTGTACGAAGCTATGTACCCGAGTAGCCAGGCACACAGGCACATCTAAATATGTACGTACGTGTGAATGCGTGTGTGCGAGCGCACGTGAAGCAGCGGTTAGCTCACAGTGCAACGAACCCGGCGACCCGAGTTCCATTTCCAGCTGGGGCTCGCATCAGTGACGAGTGATATCTGAACCACCCCTGGGCCTCCCCTATTTCGACTCTGCCCTAAACGAGTACAGCACATGGTGCAGTTCGTAAACTTCAAATACTGGAGAGACAAAGGCGGCCGGACGTGGTCCTTTCCACAGTATCCCACTTGGTGCACCCTCGCCGAGTTTCATAGCAGAGGTCGCAATTGGGTACCCGATACCCATACCCTATCCGATACCCGGATATCCGTACCCGTTTGCGACCCTGGTGCGGACGGGTACGGGTAGGCCGTGAGTCACTGGTGAGTAACCGTTTGTCACTCATTTCCCAACGTCTTGTCTCTTCTCACAATTCAAGTTCCTAGAATCAACTCACCCGCGCCTGCAAAATGGCTTCATCCCAGAGGTCGCGATCGGGTACCCGATACCCGTACCCTACCCGATACCCGGCTACCCGTACACGTTTGCGACCTCTGCTTCATAGGCGCTCGCTGACGGCGCTCGTCCCAGCGGGCTGTGCAGGATGGGTGCAGGGGTGGGGTGATGGGGGGGTGGGGGGGATCTGCGTCGCTGTATGTGTAAGGTGGTGATGCGCGTGGCTGACGGCGTGGCGCGGTGCGGTGTTGCCAGGCCTGCAGCGGGTCGCTTCCTCCGAGGAGGACGTGCGTCAGTTTGCTGCCGAGCACGAGGCGAAGCGCGAGGAGAGGAGCAACTCGGGCGAGTCGAGCTTCCAGCTGCTGTACGAGGAGCACGCCAAGCACGACTTCCTCTCGTGCATGTCCAGGTGTGGCCACAGGCGCAGCGCAGAACCCCGCCACGCACGCGCACACGGCCCTGTTGACGAGACGCGCGTCGGCAAATCGGTGACCAGGCTTGGACCTGTCCATACCGTGCGTGTTACGGGCGTTTTTTTTTTTTACAATGCTTCACTGTGCTGGCCAGTAGTCTGTATTTAAAAATCAGAAGCTTCCTACTGGAGGAATCCGACGAGCTATAAAGCTCTTTTTCACATGTCCAGTAGGGGGTGAATGTGGGAAGCATATACAATGGAGCATAGTACAGCATAACAATGGGTTTTGCTGCACTGCCATTTGTTAACGACGTTTTATGCATGGTGATTGCCCATCCAGGCACTATCCAGACTTAGAATCCTGGTTCGCTTCAGAGATCTGATTTAGATTGAGCGCAGTGCGGGTGATCTTGTCTTCGGCCAGAGAAACATCCAGACGTGGATGCAGGAACATGGACAGACGTTCATGCGTATTTTGTATTCTTCATGTGATTCAGTGTTTGTTTTTTGTGTTGTTTGTGTCCTGATGACTTTACTTCACCGCCGTACTTCATTGAATTTGTTTTGCAATTTGTAGGTTTGGTGGCTCGACTCTTGTGTCCTGGCCTCTAGAGTTCTCACCTGGTCACACAAAGTAAAATTGAACTTCAACAGGCACACACGCAGGCTAATACACACAGGCACACACAGGCTCATAATATACACAGGTAGGCATGTGCTCAGGGGGGGGGGGGGTGCGTAGGCTTGTAAGTGCACGTACGTATGCGCAGTGCCGTGCATGTACAAGTTCAATTAGGAAAACACTGGAGGCTATGCAATTTAAAATCTAGTTTGAAAACTCATTTCTTCGCGACTGCTTTTTGTGTTTAGTTTGTTGTCCTTCTCCCGTACCTCCGATTAGCACGGTTGGATACATACGGTGCAAAAGAGGTTCAACATACATATACATACACGGGAGTGGACTGGCATGTGTACAGGTGTGCGTGCAGGTACATGTGTATGTAGCTATGGTCATCAGGAAGCGGGCACACGTGTAATCATGGTACGTCAGCATAAAGATACACGTGCTGCTCGGAATGCAGGGGTGTAGAAAATCGAGTATCCTTACGGGGCACATGCTAAGGCAGGCACGGGCTAGAATGTTCACAGTCGGATGTACGCGTTCGTACGCTCGTAACCTCAAAGGAGAGCGATATCACAGGGCGTCGTTAGGAGAAGCTTTGCCTCCAAAGCCCCCTTTGATTGTGAACACACAATTGAAATTCTGCTATAGGATTGCCCAATTTGACCCAAAGGAATTTTCCCGCAGCCTGATAATGGGTCCCCAGTGTCTGCTCCTTGAAGGCAGGGAAGTGAGGAACAATGCGGCCTTCCCTGGGCCACTGGCAGTGCGGCAAATTAGTAGACATTATGCAGCTTAGCCCACCGCTAAGTGCTGCGGCATTGTTGATGGTCGCATCTCTTGGGCACAGCGAGAGGGAGAAAGTGAAAAAGCGATCGTTGTGTGCTCGCTGCTGCCGTGACCTTCGCCTGACCTCCGAATCGGCGCTGAACTTCACCTACCAATCCGTCAGCTGCCCATCATTGTATAAAAGCAAAATGTATTATGTTATAATTGCATGTCTTGTAGTTTTAAGTATGAAACACCATTCGAATGTAATTGCTGTTAAAGTATTTGTTTTGAATATGGCTGTGATGGTAGTATTGTGAGGTCTGGTCTAAATGACTTCCCTCACATTGTGAAGTGCATAGATATAAGTGTTTGTTTTTGTAGCATGTGCAGTGTTTATGCATGATTGCAAGTGCTGTACGTACTTTAGCCTACATTTATTTTGCATAAGTTTAAGTTTGCTTCATTTATGTGTATTTATTTACAGAATTTGCATATAAAATGCTTGTGGTGTTTTGCACATTAATGCACATGGCGTGTGTCCTTATATCTCCGTGTATGCCTTAGTGGCCATGCGTGTGTGTGCGTGTGTCTATATGTTTCTGTACATGTGCGGGCAGCGGTAGTGTGGCGGTTGACGCGCTGCGCTACGAACCCGGTGAACCGAGTTTTATTCCCGCTCACGGCCAACACCAGTGACGATTATTTGAACCGCTTGTGGGCCTCCCCTAGGTCGACACAGCCTCAAATGAGTACCTGGTGCGGCGTGTAAACGACACCACCGGGGAGACAAAGGCGGCCGGGCGTGGTGCTGGCCACCCACCCCCTCGTGTGCCGGCTTTCACAGGCTATAAGGTGGGGCGGTGATCTTTGTCTGTGCCATACATGCCTATACGTGTGACGCGCGCTCCGCAGACGCTCCGGGCTGCCCCGCTGGATCCTGGCCTTCACCCTCATCCTCTCCATCGTCGTGCTGCTCTGGCTGTGCTGCGCGACGACCGCCACTGCGCCCGACCAGTATATCCGCCTGCCCCAGGTGCCACGCTCCCTCCACAGCAGCGGCAGGGCCCCACCTGCGCGCCCCGCCCTGTCTCGCGCGCACCGCTCCGCGTGTCGCTCGGACCCCGCTGCGGTGCCGGATGATTCTCGCTCGTGCCGAGTGGGGGGGGGCGGTGGTGGTGGAGAGGGTTTTGGACCCGCGTAATGACGTTCCGCTCCACATGCCGGACGTTTTTCGGTTCCCGCCGGCTTGCCTTGCTCGTATGAATGTAAACGGTAGGGCATATATTACATTAAGTTAGTCTTTGGGTCTCTGTCTAATTTGATGGGTTCTATTTAATTCTGAGGGTCTCCATGCCGGTCTATGCTCCTTTTGTCATTTATATAAATCCTCTGTGACTCTACGAGTCCTACGTGTGTCGATGGGTCTCTGTGTAGGTCGCATATATTAGTTCTGCTTTGTAATGAGAATAATAAGTGTTTTTAAGTTATGTCATTCATGCAGGCTGATTCTGGGAATGCTGCAAAATCCACAAACATGGAGGTGCATGTAATATGTTAAGTTGTTTTAAACCGATGAGAGGGTGTTTTTCCATGTTCACGTTTCTTTTGGACTGAACAAGATCAACATCGAACGGCCATATCATAACTCTCATTAGCTTGATCTGTATTTGCAAAATCTGCTTCGAAACCTAACTTCTGCTAAAGCCGTGGGCACATTGTGCCATTACGTAACGCGCATTGTGAACAGCGAGCGTTGCTTTTCTCCCTTTAGTACATTCTGCAGTTTTTGTTCAGTTATGTCTCCGAATTTAAAATATGCCCTGAAAGTGCGTTTCTAACCCAAAAGGAATGAGCAAGCAACCCAGCAGTCGTTCAGGCTGACAGGAGCAGACAGATATTCACCGTTATTGTCATGCACAGGCCTTGGGAAAGAAGGTTAGTCAATGATAATTTCATATCACTGCTCGCAGCCAAAGACGCATTACAAAAGAGAAAAATGTTAAATAAAAATCCTGCTAAGTCGTGCTGTACGAGAGGCAACATAGAACCGGGCTACCTTCATCTCTGGGGTAGCAATTTTGTGGCACAGTGGCAACACTCGCGCCTCACAGCAAAAAGGGTCCTGGGTTTCATTCCAGACCCGGGCGCTCCTCTGTGTGGAGATTCTCTCTCTGTTCTCCCCTTGTTCTGCATGGGTTTCCTCCAGGTTCTCCAGCCAGTTTCCTCCCATAGCTTAAAACAACCTGCAAATTACTCAAGTTTAATCACACATAGCAACATCCCCCCGTCCGCCACTGACAACTTGGCAGGACCCTCCTGAAAAAAAGAGCTTTAAGACTTGGTGAACCTTTCGTGGGTGAACAAGCATAATTTTTTTGTTAAATAAATCTCCCCATGCACACCACACACACCAAGGATGTATTTCTGGCTGAGCCCACATAAGGGGGGCCCAGGCCGTGCTACGATTTCCGTTTCTGTCAAGTTTGCCATAGACGTGCAGAGATTGAGAAGTCTGGACCCAAGCAGATATTTTCGTTTAATTACCTCTCATTTACATTCCGTTTGTGCGATCCAGTCCGGTGTCTTGCTATGAAATGAATGGACTTCCAGTTGGAACTATAGCCGTGAGCTATGCACACCACCCATTGTTAGAGATGGACCCACAACGTGATAGCAGAGAACGACTTCTAAAGTAACTTCAATAGATATCTTTGCCCACAAGAAGGGCACATCTATCATATGCCGTGCAAGGAACATTTATTGCACGAGAAACGCTCTTAAGAAGCTGCTCTTTGGGGATGGCTGTGGAGAGCATTGCTGCTCATTTCTCCTCTGTGACGTTTCACCTCGCACGGTGGAGGCATGCTCGTGCACCGAGCCGTGAAAGCCGACATCAATACATTCATGGAATGTCGGTGGAACGAAACAAAATAAATATCTTAATTCTCAGAGCTGGAATAAGTCAAAGTTAGTGACAAGATTCATTTCATGTGGTGGCTTTTGTGCGCTATCATTCCTGACCAGATTGGTACTCTCAACTTGCTACACTAGAAAGCCCACTCTAAATGTTTTGTAGATTAAAAATACTTTTCATTGTTTTACGCAGAGACAGATGTGGGGAAAAAGGCATTATGTATTGTATCATGTAAGTTTTGTTTAATTTTTTTGACATATACTCGCCACTACCCAAAGCAGTAGCCTTTTATGCTATAAAAAATAAATTAGATTTATATAGCATCTTAACACTTAGAGCATCTCTAGATGCTGCTCGTAAATAATTATTTCCATAAAATAATATCGAGAAAACATTAAATGACAGAGACTGGTAAAGCATACCACCACGGTGACTGCACACACATAACAGCGCCATGTAAAATTAAAATATGGTTAAAATCGGATAAAACATTAAGCCTAAAGCAAACGATCCAAACAGACTTGTAAAATATCACCCTGTGATGCAACTGTTAATTGCGAGGTGCGGTTAATTTAGATGTTCTGTGCTTTTACACAACCATCACGTGCGTTCCCTCCACTCTCGTTCATCCGGTGAACGAAGGTGGATTGTGGGGAGATGGCGAACTGCCCCATGGGTTATTTGCATCTGGACAAAAAACTTGCTGAGGTATGCAGATGATGCCCCATTGACCCGAACCTGATTCATTGGACCCATCCGGGGGTGGGAGGCGGGAGGGAGATGTATGCGTCGCGATGCGTAGAGAAGGAGCCGTCCATCCCCTGCCTCCGCGATTGGCACTCTCTCTTGCCAAGGAAATGGGGTCGACCCATGAAGGTGTAAATGATTAATGCATTAGCCTAATGGGCGTGAAGCGAGCGGTCAACGTAGACATGAGATCATTGTATAATACCATTCAGCCATTGTTTAATACACCAATGTACCACTCAATCAATATTCGCTTGCCGCATTAGTCTTATAAATGTATATTTTACGGCACTGTTAATGACTAATGTAGAGCGTTATTTGTGTTTGGTACAAAAAATCTGGAATATTTGGCAATCGTCTGTGCCACTGTGCTTGCTGCAGCTTGCTCTAGAGGCTTGGCCATTTTATACATTTCTTTAACGGGGCGCAGCAGACCTTACAATCTGTACCTTACTGTTCTCATATTTAACAACCTATAAAACAGACGTAAACTTATTTTTACGTGGAGAGGCACAGATATTATTATTGTGTTACCCATAATGCCTCGCAAGAACAGATGCGTTTTTTTGTTGTTGCTCGGTTGTTGCACTCGGCACAGTACTGGCACGTGCTGTATTTCGACCGCTTAATAATTCAATCATCGTTAGGGCAATTACTGTTGTGGCTGGAGGGCTGCCACCTTCTGCACAGTGGCATCGTTACGCACAGCTCCTCCCTCCGCAGACGCCAGTCTTGACATCGCTGGTACTAATCATTAGCTCATACAGTCGTCATCGCCACGCGTTCCTGCACCTTGCCATGTAGAGCTTGGCGAGTCGCAAGATTGCGAGTCCCCGGAAGGCAGATATCATGCTTAGAATTGTATACAATTTTCCAAATGGAACGTGAGATCAGTGGTATCATTGGGGGGGTGGGTGCGGGATTGCATGGAGCCTGTCGTGGCCTGAATCCTTGGCCTCAACGTTGACTTCAGGACTCTCAGTTCTCATCCTGGACCTTGCCAGGTGTGGCCTCAATCAATGACTTGCCTTAGAGGCAGCCAGCCCTTGGCACACTGGCCTCGCTCCCGTTCTCAACCTCGCAATTGCGGCTCTTACCTTAGGGGGCAACAAATATGACTTTGTTGAGATTTTTGTTCTTGTATCTGTGTAGCTAAATCCTGTCTGGGAAAGTGGAAGCAGGGCGACCTGAATGTCTCAAGCCGTGGCAGGTCTTATCCAAGTTCGCACGTTTTCAAAGCGTGGAAATCGCTTGACCATGGCTGAGAAATCAGAGCCCTGTGTGGCGTGACAAGTCGTGCAGTGTCCGCATAGCTTTAGACGGCTGATCATGCTGTCGCTCTTCTGAATCTGAGCGAGACCTTCAATGACAACCCAGAACTCTACATAAGCACACCGTCCAGTGTTTGTCACGATGCATTCCATCAAATTGCTTCGTTTCAGTGGCACTGCATTCACATCGGCAGCGGCAGAGATAATTCGCCACTCGTTAATTGCAGCATCTCCGCAGCACTTGGGCCAGGCCTGATGCATTTTGAGGAGGCCCACGCGTGAATGGTGAAATCTCGCTAGCAGATGGTCACGGGACAGAGCGAGGTGTTCCGGTTAACATTACGGGACAGTTGGCACATGCGCCACCTGTGCTTCCTGCTGTGCCACCTTGCTGGGTTTTTGGCTTGTCCAACGCTCCTCCCCTTGTTACCGACAGGGATGCTGCCGCGTAGCATTTATGACGGTGACGAAGCTCCGCTGGCAAGGCCAGTGCTGATGTCGCTGGCACAGGATAGCGGCAACGCTGTCAAAGCCAGCACCGTTGTTATACCTACATTGCTTCTTCCTTCTATGGATATTCATTCTCATTGTTAGATGTAATTGGTTCAAAGCCTAACTAGCATCTTACAATTCTTCTTACCTCTAAGTCTGTTTTTCTAAAGAGAATATTACTTTTTTGGATTCCTACATCTTAACCCCTGCCCCCCCCCCCTCACATTATTCCCCTTATTGCTGATGTTGACACCAACACGAGTGTGCAGAGTGTATGTAGGCGTCACTGTAAACTCGGCACAGGAGAGAATGCACTCGACCAGGATGACCGCCATGGAGATGGAGCGATGAGAGCGATTCATGTGCATGACCGAGATTGATTGTGGCTTCCCACAGCCTGCGAGGGACGATGACGCTAATGTGGGGAGGCGTTCGCCCACCAGCGGATAGATAATTATAATTGATGACGCTGACATAGCTGAACATAGCTGAAAATTGTAAAAAAAAAAAAGCTCAAATCACTAGGAAACCAACTTCCGAAGCTCTGGCTGCCATATGCTGTTAGCTGGCAGGTGGGCAACACTAAAACGCACGCTGTTCTGGAGAAGCTTACGCACAATACAACCGCGGACAAAACATCGCGTGGGTTCTTAGGCATCCCAGTCATCTGTTCGTGGGATTGAGGAGCGACAGCCTTTTTTTTCTTTTTTTTCTGCAAAAGAGGTGACAAGAGGGAGTTATTTGCCGCATCAATTGAAGTCCCGGCTGACTATCGACAAGGCTGTCCCGGGAAAATTGACGACGCACTTTGTTTATCTGCTTTCTGCTGAGCGTGGCATCGTTAGTGGCGTGATGAATGTGTGTCGGTTTTGAGGCAGTGTCTGCGTTGTTATATATTTATTTATTTCCACCGCAAACTGAAAAAGCGCGTGCACCTTTTCAGCTGCTTGAATGGCCGCATCGTTATTGTGTCACGGGTTAATCAAACTAAATTACTGAAGATAGCCCGATAAAGGATCCAACGATGTATGGCATAACGTCATCATTAGAGCTCACACCGTTGTCAAGCCCATCGATAAACCGCTTGCATCCTGAAACCCGACTCGGCAAATTTACGCGACAAAAGTTAAATGCAACATTTCATGTGGATCGTCGAAAAAAAAAAATTCGTAAAAAATTGGTCGCAGCTCTCAGGTCTGCCGATGGACATCTTTCCAAACACAAGTTCTAAAAACTTTAGCAGCCAGCCAGCCAGCGCGTTTGTGTCCCCCCCAAAGAATGTACTGCCTGCTCAATCTCATGCCTTCTGATGCGTTTGCATAGCAACCTCAGCTGGGCCTCTCCCCATTAGCAGCTGCTGTGCTCTGTCGCTCGGGCTACAGAGAGCTGCAAATAGAGCACAGATGGGTCCTTGAATTTCCATATTACAGATGGCTGCCACAACACCAAGCAGATTCACCTTGGGAGCAGAGTTCTCGCTTGTGCCAAAAGAGAGCGGGCGAGTCCCCGGGAAGACGCGAAGCCCTGCGTGCGATCGTGTCGACGCTCTTGCAATAAGAAGGAGCGTTCGCCAGGAAGCTACCGATAGCCCTTGGCTTCCATGTGGCGCTGATGGAGATGGAGCTGCTAACAACGGCCCAGGTTTCGCTTGAGACGTGCGCGGTGGGCGGTTATGGTGACATGACGTGCTCCCCGTGCAGGGAGCCACTTCACGTATGGATGAGTGTCTCACCCGCAGGTGACGTGAGCTTCATTGGTGGCCATTTGCCACAAACATCCTTGGGTTGGGGGGGGGGGTTGCCAGGAACCCACCCGGAGGTGGAGCTGGAGACCGATGCCAGCTGTGGGGGTGGGAGCCACGCCACTGGGAGGACTCCGTGTGCAGAGTAGCTGCGGAGAGCGAGAGACCGTGCTCGGCATGAGTGCGCTGAATTTGAGGGCCATCTCAACCAGCTCGGGGAGAGCGTTTGGAGCAGAGTTGAAGGGACGAGATGTGACAACCGCGGCGATGATCATCATCAGCCATGATCAGTCCACTGCTAGATTAAGGCCTCCCCAATAGCCCGCATATCCCACGGTTATACAATACAATAATCTGCCTAACACTGCGCACGAGCCGATGTCATCACTCCCTCTCCTCGGTGGACGTCCTCTCGGATGGATTCCGTTCCTTGGCTGCCACTCTAAATATTTTTGACAGTGTGCCATCATGCCCATGTTTTGTATTTACATTGTGTTTGATTTAGCACTAAATTCTCTATCTTCTATTGTATTCCCCACATCTATCATAAAAAGGGCTTGCTGTCTTGATGGGCTTTCACCTTGCTTCATTGATTTCACCTGGGTTATTCATTGATTGATTTAAAGTGTGTGTGTGTGTGTGTTGGCAGGAAGCGGAGGCAGTATAGTACAATAATGATTTTTTTTTATCTGAACCTGGCGTGAACCTCTCCTAGGTTCACTTGGCCTAAAAATACCTCCACTGTCAGCATTGGGGAGATTAAGGCAGCCACGTGAGATGTGGGTCCCACCACTATATTTTGTGCTGTGCCAGCTTTAATAAGTGCTTGCTGACAGCACGTGCACCAACAGCCTCTGCAGAAAATGAGGAATGATCGTTATCTTTGTATATCTCTAAATGTGCATGCTGGCGCATGATTACGTACTTATACGTACACATAATACCCACAAATGTACGTGAGTTTACACTTCTGTGAGTACGCATATACTCATGCATACGTATACACCCATACATTTTGTCTAATTTAGGTCTAAAAATGGGTCATACAGGACCCCTTTAAATGTTTTGTCCCATGACTCTCCACCACTCACAATATTAGGCTTGGTGCAAAAATGTTACTGCTATGGGTGTTATTATTTTCCATCAGTCCCATTCCTCATCCGTTATACATTTTTTATGAATGCCACTCCCCCCATGCCTCGCTATGTAACCTACCAACTCGGCGAAAGAAGAGCATTTTTTTTATCAGAGCTGCACTCCCTGCTGTGACAAATGGCTCGGGAACACAGTCGTTATAGGACAATGCACGTGACCAAAACTGAGAAGGGCACAAAGAAGCGGGGGAGAGACGCTTGCTTGGAAGTACGTTCAGAGAGCGAAAAAATAACACGTGGATTAGAGAACATACGCATGTTAATGATATTAAATCTGTTGGGGAAAACGAGTGGGGTTCATAACTAATGTTTAAGTTGGATCATGTGGGTATTATGTCTCATTAATAATTTACACAAATTATAAAAATAAGTTTACTTGTTTATCCAGGATAGCCACAATGAGTTGTACGACTTTTTAAAGAGGGTTTTGCATTGGGTTTTTATTTAAAGATTTTTTTCAGCCAATTAACGAATGTTTATACTAGTGGGGGGGAAACCGGAGAAAACCAACGCCTTGTAGTGAGGAGGTAACACTGGATCCGTGTACAGATGGAAACACATGGTGATTAGTCCACTTGCTGTACTGCCTTCTTCTAGCGAGTTGGGGTATGGCACCTCCACGTACATGGGAAGGGAGTTTCGCAACGTTTTCGCCTCACAGTGCTGAACTACAGGACACGTTCATAGCCACCACTGCCCGGCACCGTTAGAGATATGCACCCTCCAGCAAAGTCGGTTATGTTGAAGAGCAAGCAATATTTGACAATTGCAAGTCTCCGCATGAAATTAAAATGAGTGGCCTCAGGCAGGGACACGTAGCAAGAAGGGGATTGCCGACGGTGAGATTAATAACCGAGCGGCAAACCAACGGAACGTGACGTGTCTCTGAGGACATCCACCGAGTTGGAGCTATGAAATCGGCTCGTGCAGTAAGTGCCGGGTGGAATCTTCCATCGCGGGAGTATGGAGAGACGGCCACAGCTTGGGGTGGGAGGCCTTTGTCCAGCGACCGTGGTTGATGATGGAGACGTCCGGCTGTGTACCGTTTTGTTTCTGACGCCGCCGACTTTGCTGCTGCTGTTGTTGTTGTGCAGAAGCTGAGCATCAACGGGGACCTGCAGTACCTGAAGGAGCTGTACCTCAAGATGCCGCTTGACTCCACAGTGCCGTTGGTGAGCGTGGCCATGGAGGACGATGGGGACGAGGGAGGACCTCTGCCGGCCAAAGTTTCCATGTTGCATGCCACGCTGTGACAGAGTCGCCAGGGGGGAAAAACATTCTGGGGGTCCGATTCCTGTCCTGACAGAGGGTGGGGGGGGGGACTCTTTGGGATAGATTGCGGGAATGAGAAAGGGCAACTTTTTTCGATAGTTTTTTTTTTTAGCTGTTAAGGTAAAAAAGTAAAGTGACACCGCAAAAATAAGTGACTCCATTTAATCTGAGTGCATGTTATTGAGTCGGAGCCTCAAGGGATCCGTGTGCTTCTAAACCATTAACATTCAAATGGGATCTGTGTTTCTCTTGGGGGTCGTCTATGAGTTACAGCTGCACTGCACGTAACGAAGGCCTTTTTGCCACGACTGGAGTTGGACCCCCGCAATCTTAGGTCATCGAATCAAAATTACTCTCTTCTCAATGTTTTCACAGAAATTGATGCAGGTGAAATGACTTATTCCCTTCCCACGTGTTTCTTTTTCTCTTTAAGTTAGCGTATTTTGTCGCTCCATTTTTGGGGTAGGTGTAGGTGGACTGATATAGTTTGAGGAAAACGAAAGTATGTTAAGAGGGAAGAAAGTAAACAAATGCTTGACTGCATTTTATCACAACCTAATACATTTAATGGATTGAGAACTCGGTAATTTTAGTAATGGCCTCTGGTGTGTTGTTTTTATTTTTCGTCCTGCTGGGAAATGTGTTGGCTCTGAATCTTGGAGGCTCTGTCCTGGACTGAACCTTGTTGGCTTAAGGGGAGTGCAGGTTTTTCCTTCCTTGAAAATGTCACTGGCGTGGGAGAGAGAAAACCCCGCCCGGTTTATTTACTTCCTGATGCTCAAAACTAAATTTGATTTTCCCTCTGTCAACAGAGAGCATTGCTTGTTATCTTTTGCGCCCAATCTTTTTGTACTGATGTAAACAAAACAAACCCCCCCCCCAATCTCACAGCACAAATCCTTTGCTGAATTTAACTTTGGGATAATTGGACAGTAAATTCAAGACGTTAACTTCAAGATGGCGCATTCAAGTGTGCATACGGACATGCTATGTAAAATGTTTTCCTTAATTGGCCGCGCTACGATATTGTCACTTTCTGACATTCGTGCAATTTCTGGTAGAAGTGTTCCCGTTGTGACCCATTTCTGCACTCCACCATATGATAAACAACCTTGTTTTCAGTTTTGAGCATCTCAAATGGGTTAGTATTTAAAGAAGATGGAACCGATGAAAACCTGGCAAGTGGTGAAATTTAAACATTGGAAAATGACTTGATGCGCTAGGTTGACATCAAAGACTTTGGTAGTGGTGACCTCTATAATAATGTGTCTTGCTGCAGTCACGGAAGCTTCAGAAGTGACATTCAAACGGTGAATTGTTTTTGCATTGCCGCAAGCAGCGGTTCAGCTGGACACTGTAACAACAGCGATATAAATATCTGTGAAGCATGTAATGTAACCTCACGATAAAGAAGAACCCCTGGATTAATGCACCTGTGTTGTACAATGCAATACTTGTAGAGCCGAATTAACACTGATATATTAAATGTAATGGTCTACTTATAAATTCTGTTTGAAGTTGGCTAAAAATCGGTGACTAGCAAATCAATATTAGGTGAATTGTAAAAAAAAAAATCCTCTTCGGATCGAACACATGGAGGGCACTTATTTCGGAGGATTCAATCCTATGGTGGTGGTGTTAATGGGTTGCTGTGTAATTCATGGAACAGACCATATCCTTCTTTGGACATAGGAAATTAAATTAAACAAGCATCTTCGTTAAATTGTATTATTTATGAAACCTAATTTTTCATGGAGCAAGAAAAAAGTGATACATTTTAAAGCCATAGAAAAATTTAACAATATACAGTGTAAAGTGTGGAAGAGTAGGCCAAAAACCCTCTAAACAGGCTCGAGGGCTTTCTCCAGTGGAGCTTCGTCCACCAGCATTGGTATAAGCAGGGAATTGCAGCCCTGCACCATTACCACTGCATGAATCCAGAGCATTCCTCATTTTCTGATAAACACAGCCCTGGATTAATGGCCAAATAATGCGTTACATTCTTCTGAATATTTATTTTCTCTCTCTCCTCGTCAGCCGATTCATAGATTATAGAAACCTCTCGCTAAACCCATGGCAGTGCTCTTGATATATGTGTACCGGCGACATTTATTCCCACAGCATTCACCAGTGGTGGGCTTGATTAGCCCTGTTCCATGTGGGTGGCTCTTAAGGTGTCTTTGTTTTCGAGAATCTGTTATTTTTTCCGGAGTTTCTAAAGACGTGGGACATTTGAATTGCTTAAAATGTGTAAGCAGCCGTTTTTGCGAATGTTTGTTCTGGCATCAGATGGATATAAACAACAGCAGAAAGAGACAAGGTTTTAATGTTCTATTAGGTCTCGTCTTTTCCTACGGTATTTGCATTTGTTTAAATGTCCATGTGCAGTCACACCTCTATAATCTGACTGGTTCTCTCTCGCAGGCTTTGGGTTGCAATGCATTATTCTTAAGGTTTTGCTTAATTTGGCAGCGGGATTGTTAGTGCAGGTTGTTATAAAGTAAAGTAATCCATTCCACAAAATGTAATTAGAAACGTAACATTGTTTCTAAACTCCGCTTGATTGTAGGAGTGCGACTGCATCAGAGTAACGAGCTTGCGATGTGTGTGGGGAAAATAAGGTACTGTTAATTCAATACAAGATCAATTGTGTAGCTAGATTGCAAGTGGTTAATGGATTAAACTCTTTACTGAAACTCAAATGCAATGCTTTTTTTTTCCGCTACTTTTGCCGTGGGCCATGGAATCAAGACTGAGACGCATCCTTTGCATGCTGCAGATCGCTTGACATCGACACTCGAATTATTTGGTGAAAAGCTACAGCCAGGTGGCTCTGGTGGAGCAAGCGGGCCACGCGTTCGGAAGGTTGTGAGCAAATCCTGGTTTGGGAGTGGACTCAGTACATCAATTCGCGGATAGTTTGCGCAGTGGTTGCACCTATAGATAGACTCACTCCAATATGAATGTGGAATTTCCACCACAGGGCCTAGGGCTGCATACCGGGCACGTGCACACTGCCTTCACTGCTGATTTGAGCAGAAAATCACGTTGATTTGGTGAAATGTCAGTTGAAGAGCATCACAAAACTGCCCCATGGTTTCCTAGCTGAAGCTGGACTGCCTTAACCAGTTGGATATTATAATGTAATTATCTGCTATCTTGTCACATCTTGTTACACGTCTTTTGATAGCTGCCATATGCTAAAGTCTTCATCGGCCAACCCACAGCAAGCTGAAGTGTAAATGACCAACTCTGTCATGTTCACTTCTGATTGGAATGCCGCTAATTGGCAATTATCGGTGATTGTTTCTAAACCTAAATGGTCAGCTCACAGTAAGAGCATATTGAATAGCTTCGTATTGGGTTGGATTTAGTCCTAATAAACATAGCACATGGTATAATGTGATAATTCTGTATTGTTTGACCATAATTATCTAAATGATGAACATTTTAAGTAATATATATTATTATGAAATTAGTTCACATTGTGGCAGCATTGACACTCTTAAATCTCACTTATGATTCACGCAATCCCCAAGCTGTAGTCCGATTTATTTTAATGATTGTGTAAAATTGTATTATGGCATATATGGTTACCAGAGGCTGAAACGTGGGCACATGTTGTTGACATGTCCCCTATTCACTGGTGGCTCTGAGCACGGTAAGCCGCTCGCTCTCGTGCACTGTCATTGCTCGTCTAAAGATCAAGGTCAAGGCGAGTTCTGCGAATGCCACCACACCGAAATTCCATGAAGCTTTGTCTACGGCTGTCGATAGCCGATCTCCAACGTTTCCACTTTTATCATCCACCACAACCATATCGACTCAATTTGTACCTACATCGCGATCACGCCCCCCCCCCCCCCCCCTGCGAAAACTTGGCAGGACCCCCCCCCCCCCTCCCACCTAAAAGCGAGTCGCGAGACTCGGTTTAGCAATGCAACAACCACCGCCTGACTGGCAGAAGAACGTCGCTTGGCAGCAGCGGTGACGCGTGGTTGGCATGGACCCCCTAGTGCAGGAAATGAAGTAGAGGACCCCTGTCCAATTTCTCACCCTCCCCACCACTTTGTAGATCGGTACCAGGGCCACTTTCCCTGTGGGTTCCGGCGCAGTTGCACCGCCTGCACACCCGATAGCAACGCCACCGCTCGGTGCACCTGATCCACGCCACCGCCATCGGCGGTGCCACAGACGGGAGCCATAAATAACGGGACGCAGGTGGGGACTGTAAACACGGACGTTGAAGGGGCCGCTGAAGACTTGACTTGAGTTTCCGTGCACGTCTAACATCGGTGGCACGCGACATCGAAACTGGTCCGGAGCCTCTCATTTCATTGACCCGCTCTCACCAATATGGTAAATTACGATCAAACGGTGCAAAAAAAAGTCTTGCTTCCCATTACACATTATTTAGAGTTGTGGCCGCTTTTAAAGCCACTGCTGGATGAGGTCCTTCCCGTGCCGTGTGGGTCACGGTGGTTTTGTGCTATCATAGTGCCGATTTGTGAAAGGGGCGCCTCGGTATCAGGTCAGATATCACTGGCAACTGATGTTGGCTGTGACCTCGGATCGCCGGGTTCTTAGTGCACTGCGCTAAATCTCTTGTGCCGCCGCTCCCACACTCCCTATGGTCTGTGTGGAAAATAAAACGTTCGCTTAATAGGGATAATAAGATTTATCGTGAAACTCAATTAGATGATAACAGTAACGTGTCGTTGCGCGGATCGTGTTACCTTGCACGCGTCTCGCTGCATCCTGGATCGTGCGCGTGCAGAATAATGCAGATTTGAAAATGTGTGAAAAGCTGTGGCACCTTGGCCCGAGTGAAGCGTACAATGTGGCGGTAATTTGCATTCATATATGCTCGACCACACGGATGCTAAAAGGGCACAAACTAGACACTTTGAGTTCTTGCCAAATCCATTATCCTCTAAAGCCCACTCCTTGCCACTAAAACTGAGAATGCGCTCTCCTCGAATACAGATGTCAAGTTTGCCAGAGGCACCCCCAAGCATGCATTTGCTACACACATCGGCCCTTGGAGATAAAAAGGCCCAATATAAAATTATGACTTTTTGAGTAACTCTCATTTAACAAAATTATGATGTGTGTTTATATTTTTTTGGGTTAGGCCACGCAAATCTGAACAAATGTGTCGTTATCCCCTCCACCAGCCGACGTAACCAATTTTAGTGTCACGTGTACATGCGTTTAACACGCCAATTATTATTTTCTGGTCGCCCACCGGTAAGTTGAGCAATTCTCACAACAAAAATTGAGCATTTGTGCGAATTAATTGGGGAAATGTTCAGTGTTTAATAATGACACATTCATAGATGTTTTATATACATAAAAACAATCTCTGAAAATGTACTTCACAAATTTGACAAAGAAGGCATTCATAGTTGGGCTCGAGATAAATGAGCAAACCTAAAGTCACGTGCAACTATTTTTTTTACGTGAGAAAATGTTAATAATGTTTGTTCTAGGATGAGTAAGTTAAGCGTTCTTAACGTAATCCTTTGGAAGGCTGTTGACAAGCCTATGCATCTATCTTTAGCACCGAGGCCCCTGCTCTTGGTCTGAGCTCAGGCTTGGCTCTGGCAGAAGGAGAGCCGGCTCAAAGCCATACCGTGCTTTCGTTGAGCCGACTCTGGGCATGGTCTGGGCCACGCTCAGGATTTCCATGAGGCTCAACCCCCGAGTCCCAAGCCATGGCTGAGCCGCTCAATCATGGGCCTTTGAAATCAAGTGAGCGCCTCGAGCCTGAGCTAAGTCTGAGTGTTAGTGGCCGAACCCAGTGCCGGATTATCCTAGTAGCAAAAGTAGCGTCATATGTAGTAGCTACGGGCCCTGCACTTTCAAAGGCCCCGCGCTAAATAATTTCAAGTTATCAATTCCGGTAAAGTCACGTAGAAGGGAAGTAATAAAATAATAAAAAACAAAACATAATATTTTATTACTTCCCTTCTACGTGACTTTACCGAAAGAACCAAGAAGATGAATCCCTGCAGTCACGAAAGCTTTAAATCGAAATGTATCAATTCCGGTTCAGTGAATCTGCACTTGCTCTATTACTATAGTACTATACCGCCTTCAACTTTTATGAACGACTGGGTGTTTAAGGTTAGCGATTTGTCCTATTATCTGGTTGTATAGCAAATGAACAAATACAATGACTTTACTGCGCAACTAAAAAAATTGTGTTTTAATATTTGTGTTTTTTATTTATTTATGGCCCCTTTATAACATACTAGCGGGAAGTACCCAGCGTTGCCCGGGGGAAATATATTTCAAAGCTTCTCTTAAAAACATAACATATACATACACAAATACTAAGCTATTGCGAAAGCCCGGCGTGCCCGTTTGTCCATTTGTCCGTCAACAAAATTATAAGAGGCTTGCAGAAGTCCAAAAAGTTATAGAAAGTGGGGGGTTAATAGATTATCTAAAAGGTTTCTGAAAATTGTCGACCCCCCCCCTCAAAAAATATTCCCCCCATATAGGCATATATACCTACACACCCTGCATACAATAGAGTAGTTACTAGTGACTATAGTAGTATCTTACTCTACAGTAGTATCTACTGACTCTATAGTATCTATTGACTATAGTAGTACCTGCTGACTCTGTAGTTGATATACTAACTCTACAGTAGTATCTACTGACTCTATAGTAGTATCCACTGACTATAGTAGTAACTACTAATTCTACAGTAGTAACTACTGACTCTATAGTAGTATCTACTGACTGTTGAAGTATTTACTGACCATAGTAACATCTACTAACTCTACAGTAGTATCTACTGACTATAGTAGTATCCACTGACTATAGTAGTAACTACTAATTCTACAGTAGTAACTACTGACTCTATAGTAGTATCTACTGACTGTTGAAGTATTTACTGACCATAGTAGTATCTACTAACTCTACAGTAGTATCTACTGACCGTATAGTAGTATCTTCTGTCTGTAGGTGGAAAATCATCTTCTTTCGCGTGGCTGCTGATGTAGATGGAGAGCAACAACTACAATTTCACATTCAGGTGGTCAAGCAAGATAACCGCGTCAGGAAGTAGCTGAGTGTATCGCTGTGATGTCTCCTTCGTATTTGTGGATTGGGCATTGTCTTGATGGAGTAAAAAAATTAGCACGGCTGACAAGTTGAAGCGGAAATTTGCATCGAATGTTAACGAACGCATGACAGTGATGGTGATGATACACTTAAGTGTTATTACCTATTGTGACAGGACAATGCCACACGCCGCTGGTGTGTCGAGATTGTACGTGGTGTAATTATTACATTATTAATACTATGCATAGCCGAGGAAAGCCTCACGGAATCTAAAGACTTTATACGTATATGTGTATATGTTGAACTTCTTTCGCACCGTACGCAGCCAACCGTTCAGGAGGCTCCTGCCACATGTTTTGTAGGGGAGGGGTTGGTATTGATGCTATGTGTAACTGGCAGGTAATATATGGGCATTGGGATATTTGTAACCGATGTAACAGAACAGTGGTGGGGGGGGGGGGGAACATACGAAATCCACAGTGAAAGATGCCCGAGTTGGACATTGAACCCAGGCCCTCCTTGCTGTGAACACGACTGTTACCAGCCTGCCAACCTCATCTTCAGCATTGCCCCTGCTATGATTTATCGCGTGGCAATAACATCGCCGCGCTTGTGTAGCGTCGGCTCGAGCAGAAGATGCATTTGGAGATGAGTGACATAAAATAATTATGGCTCGCCGTCATAAATAAATTGTGTACACGCACATGAATAACACGGGGGGGGGGGGGGGCGGGGTATTATGATAGCCTACCAACGGGTCTTCAATTATTAAGACGATTTGATTTGTTATTATGCTCGAGTCCTGGTAGGTTACGACAGGTCTCCCTTGGAAAGAGACGATGTATCACAATGGGCTCTGACCCTGATGAAAGGATCTCTAAACGAAGCTTTAATTACAACAGTATCAAAGAAAATCAGGAGTAATAAATTGGCCAAACACACAAACGGCACTTTTAATTGATTTAGTGTCCCAATGTAATCGGATCCCGAGACGCTTGAGAACTAACCCCCCCCCCCCTCCTACATTCGGAGATAACGAAGGGGGCAGGGGGGCTCCATGGGACAGACGAGAAAGAGAAACGCAGCTCGGGCTCAAGCAACTTGGGGTGCCAACGAGTCCCAGGGCGTTGCTCGTTATAAACTATCCAAAGACGGCCACTGCATCGCGCTGCGCTTTCAGATGTGCTTCTGCGGCCGTCTGGAACGTTCTTCCTTCCAACATTAGGAAGCCACTGGAGCTATGCACTTTTAAATCATCATCTAGTTTTACACACTAATTTATATTAAACTGCCTTGTTTGTGCTGAGTGTTGTCCCCCCCCCCTCCGCACCTCCGATTAGTACGGTTGGTTACGTACGGTGTGAAAGAATATAGTAATAGGTTTTTACCCTTTTAACTGGCAATAAAACTGACACCTTTATACAAGGGATCATGTTTGCATTAACCACAACACTTGCGGTCAAAATACAAACAAAAACACAACTCTGATAATGTATGCACTGTCCTTGCAATTGATTGGTCCACACCCGAGACAGCTTTTCTTAGAGCCTAGTCCCACATGGTGTTGGACCAGATGACGCCAAAAGGCGCACAACTCAAAGACAACGCACCATCAGAGTATTGAGAGCTCGAGGTAAGCATTTACATTATGAGACTTCCTTTGCCAGTAGGAAGATATAGTAATAGGGTTTTACCTTTTTAACTGGCATAATGGTGTGAAAGAAGTTAAATATACCCACAGATCCATGGAGGGCCGGGGTGCGAACAGGAGGCGGCAGTAGTGAGAGTGAGGAGCAAGGCAGTGGAGGAGAGGTCGGGCAAGGATGAGGAGGTCAGTAGCAGGCAGTTACCGGGGGGTTAACTCAAGGGCATTTGGGTGGAAACGAAATGAGGGAAGACGTTAAAACAAAACGGTGAAGCAGCAGATAGGAATGAGGAGATGAGCAGGGAAAGTTTGTGTTGGGGGCCCTCCATAAATGACGTCACGCACCTAGGGAGGGGGGGGGTCAGACATTTGTGACGATGTATGACGGGGGGTGAGAAATGTGACGTCACATCAAAAATGCGCAACTTTAAATAAATACTGAGAACACGTTCTACTTAATTAAATAGACTTTTTAATACATATTTTCTCCTACAACATCAGAGTGCAGCGCCACATTAAATACGCACTACAATGACAATAGTTTAAAGCGATTTGAAGCATGTTTTATTTGGGGGGGGGGGGGCAGAACTTTGTGACGTCATATTTGAGGGGGGGGGGTCTGACTTTTTGTGACGCCGTGTGACGAAGGGGGGGGGGGGCAAAAATCGTCCAAAATCGCGTGACGTTATTTATGGACGGTCCCTTGGGGAAGGTAGACAGCCGCATCGAACCTAGAAGCCAGGAGCGAGGGAATGGCACACTCAGAAGGTGGACATCTTACCCACCGTATGGCCCCAGATGGCTCAGTGCAGCAAATACAATGCTATAACGATTTGTCGTAAGTCTGCCAGGTACGACATCACAAGAACAAAAAAAACGTATCGTAACTTAGATTTAGTAACTCGCTTACCATTTCCTCAAATTTTAGTTTCACTCCTCAAAGAGCTTCATAACTCATCGGATTCCTCCCGCGGGTCTCAGTGAAGTAATTCTGAAACGTGGTTGCCCTAGTAACGAGATCCTAACCGGGACCTCCTCCTGTAAACGAGCCGTCGCTAAGGACCAAAGGTCATGAACTCGCACCGCTCCAGCCAATCAGCTGCCGGGAAGACTACCCCCGCCCCCCTCCCCCCCCAGGTGTGCAGGCGCCACGTGCTGCCAGACCGTCCTGCGGCGTAGCGCATCGCCTCGCCACTTTGTTTCAGAGTCACTAAAAACGCCTCTGTGTGTGTTGAACACGTCTTTCTCTCGCTCTAGGTGGTTTTCAAACGTCTTTCTCAGCGCTTCTTTCCTTGGTCGATGTTGAACTATTTCCGCCTTGACATGCATAGCGCAACTGAGAACGAGTGTTGAAAACATTTATATATATAAACATGTGATTATCCCATGCTGCGCGCAGGTTGACATTGCCCGTCGAGTTTATTGCGGATGAGAGAATTCGACTCTTTGGTTCTTTCGGTAAAGTCACGTAGGTATAAAGTAAAATAAATCACGACCTTTCGGGCGCAACACAAGCGTCCATCATCAGGTGGTGATTTATTTTCTACCTACGTGACTTTACCGAAAGAACCAAGAGTATGGATTCCTGCAGTCACGAAAGCTTCACATCAAGAGAGAATTATAGTCCCAAAACAATGCTCCCGCCACTGCACCTTGGCCACCCGCTGCGTATGAAGAAGGGTTCTTGTTGGTGGCAGGCGAAAGCCGAGGTCTCACTCGGAGCGGCGTGACGCGCCCATTGACTCCGTCACGCTGTTGTGGCCAGCTGCCCGGGCAGAATCGCTTCCACAAGTCACTCCCACAGCCGTCAACCCATGCGGCTTACCCCGTGTTGCTGTACAGGGGAATTGAGTTTTCAGGTCCATACGGCGTTGTTACAGCCGTTTCAATAGGGGCAACAACACAATTTGTTTGTGTGTTTGTGTTTCTCCTTTGTGACGGGACTTTGTAAGATGAACGTCGAGATTTGTAAGGGCACGGGTTGACCAATAAGGTCCGAATTGGTCTGTAATAAGGTAGGGCGCTGCTAAGGATGTTTGACAGCTTTGTAGTAGCGGGGTCTCTTCCCCAGGCCATCGTTTGCCCCCCTCCACCCCTTCGTGACGCTTACAAGACGCGGGGCCGCTTTTGAGCAGCACCTGCGCCCGGCTTGTGACGGGCATGCTCGAGCCTGCGCACGATGATCGACCCTGGGCGTTTGCGTCTTGCCGCTTGTCTACGAGACTCGCTCGCCCCCCACCCACAGACCGCGTGTTTATATACCAGCAGCGTGGGGGGGGGGGGGGCCTTGGCTTCTACCGTCCCCTGGTGGCCACAGCTACGAGTTGGGCCCCCCCCCCCCACCTTGACAACCATCATGGGATTTGTATTCAACAACGGTGTCAAAAGAACACGAACACTTACGTAACGATGTGATTAGGCAAGAGGAGCGGCGATATCTAATAATACGTTAGGTGCGACCGTGCGAGACAAATCAAACCATGGGGCCAGCACTCTGACCGATTCCTGCACCTCGCTGGCCTGACAATGTAAGTCACGACGCCACTGATAACGTCGTCACTACGTCACGGTGTCTAACCACTTATTACCACGCTTATTGAGCCAGAAAAAAAACTCCTCTGAGTCTCGTGACACGTTTTTTGTTCTTCAGGAGGGTCTTGCCAAGATTGCTTGGCGTGGGGTAGATGGCAAATTTGGACCGTGACTCGGGCGCGCGAGATGACGTCTCGGGCATCTTTTAATGGCCACTGCGAAGGGTAATTGTTGTCTGTGGTTATTATGACACCCCCAGGAATAACCAGGGCGGCCACTTGAATTGAACCATGCACCACTGCCACAAGGTGCTCCTGCAAGGCCATGTCACCGCCCCTGCTGTTCAGGGCCATCACGGTGGGGGAGGAGGGGAGGGCTAGGCGATATTTTGTCTTAGTGCAGTGTGACGTGCGCAGTGGTTCGTGCATTGTGCCACATTCCCCTGAGCGTCATTTACAGCCACGCGAGCTGCCGAGCGGCTCGCTGTGCCGGACCCATTTGTACTGCTGGTGGCTGGGCAGAGGCAATGAGGCGGGGGATGAATAAACTCTTGACCCCGCCGCTTCAACTGCCGCAACGGGCGATCAAATGGACCTGGCGACCATCGGGATTCTCAGTGTGCTGACCGTTACACCACAGGCAGCATCCCCCGTTGCTGTCACACGCGGACTAAGGGGCCGTCCATAAATGACGTCACGCGATTTTGGACGATTTTTTACCCCCCCCCCTTCGTCACACGGCGTCACAAAATGTCAGACCCCCCCCCCCTTAAATATGACGTCACAAAGCTCTGCCCCCCCCCCCCAAAACCATATTTCCATTTTGAAATAAAACATGCTTCAAATCGCTTTAAGCTATTGTCATTGTAGTGCGTATTTAATGTGGCGCTGCACTCTGATGTCGTAGGAGAAAACATTTATTAGAAAGTATATTTAATTAAGGTGAACGTGTTGTCTATATTTATTTAAAGTTGCGCATTTTTTATGTGACGTCACATTTCTCACCCATCCCCCCTCGTCACACATCGTCACAAATGTCTGACCCCCCCCCGCCCCTAGATGCTTGACGTAATTTATGGACGGCCCCTAAATCCAGATTTTTGCCCTAATTTATTTACTACCTGGCACCGAAGAATTGCTATTGGGCCTATAAAAGCATTCTCATCTCCCGATGAGCTAGTACCTCGATTAAAAGCCCCAATACTCTCACTGTACTCCCACAGAGGTCAACCCAAGGGAAACAACACACACAAATGGGCATCACAGCACTACACACATTTTTTTTTATTGCCGTAACAAAAACCACGTACAGAATTTATTACTTTACAATTTTATAGACTAGTACTGTACTTGCATATTCCAGCTTTGACACTCGGAAGATGTTATACAATATATAACGTATGAAGAAACAAGCAAGAATGGACTGTGACATTTATGACCTCGCTTCCTGGTCTAAATATAAAGTGGTGAGAGTTGGGGTGTTTTTGCCACTGGCATTCCTTGTGGAAACGTATCTCAATAACAGTGGTGTACATCTCTTATCCTCGATTAAGTGGTGGCGGATATCGCGGATCCTGTAGTATCTCTGCAAATGTGCTCCACGTATCCGCGATAAACATCTGTAGATAACCACAGATAATTATAGGATACATTTGCCAATGAACTCTTCTCATCCCCAAACAAATATGAAGTGTTTCCCTGAAGTGCATGCCGTGAAACAGGGCTGGTCCAGTAGCTGTGGGTAACGCACATAATTCGCGGGTAATTATGTCTTGCTTGACTCCACTTATGCGTGAAACATTGGCAGATAATTGGAAGCCGTTCCACAGAGAATGGGACAACCCCCGGATAACTGCAGATAGTACGAAAAACGAGGCCTTGGATAATCGGAGTTTTGTTTGCGGGTATTACAGGTTGTGAATAAGAGTTATGTAAATCAGACAAAATAAAGGAAACGTTTGTAACCACATGTTTGTGCACATATGATGGTTCCAGTAGGTGTTGTGAACATGCAATCCACACCACTGGGTTAGATCACATCTCCTGTAAAGTGCTATCATCGTTAATCATCGTCCACAACCTATCGACTGTTGGATGAAGGCATCCATCCCAATGCTATCGGCATTCTCTCTACGGTCACACGATGCAACCGTCTTGCTCCTGCATTCCACGATCTCATTCGCTCCATCTCCACGGTGGCCATCGCCGTCGGGCACGTGTGTTGCCTCCTTCGGCTACGACTGCACCATTCGTCTGGGCCTCTTACCATCACGGTGCTGTAAAATGCTTTCTTGCACTACCAACTCTTGCGAGCCTTCACTGAAAACCCAACAGCCAACAAATAGTATTGGCGCATTTTCCCTATTCATTCAGCTTTTCTTAAACTGTCCGATTATAATCGTAAATACAGCATAGTTTTAGTACACACACGTAAAATACAAAAAAATGTCAAATCTATAGACAGCAGTGACGGTGTATCTGTGGCACCGATGGCAGCATGCATGCCAGGCACATCAGCGATAATATCCAGCTCATTATAATTCAGAGGCAATACAGTTCGAGGGTGGAGAAAGTAAAGTTCTGTGTGACATCCCCAGACGTATCTGCGTCGCCTCGCACCGCGTGGGTTTCCACCGGCTGCTCTGCTTTCCTCCCACACGCACAAACACTCATTAATTGGCTGAAAACATCTTAATATATAGAGGACTAAAATCAACCAGGTAGGGTGTTGACTGTTGTGTTAGCCGACTCTCTGTGTTGTATTGCATTACATTTCTAAGTTTACTATGGTTTCATACTCTTTGGTTCTTTCTGTAAAGTCACGTAGCTATAAAATGAAATAAATTGTGATTGAATTTAATTTATTTAATTTTCTACCTACGTGACTTTACCGAAAGAACCAAAGAGTATGGATCCCTGCAGTCACGAAAACTTCAAATATCGATTTACTAGCTTTGTTTTCTCATTCATTCTTACCTGATGACGATTGCTTGTGTTGCAATCGAAACGTCGTATTCTATTATTAAATGTATTTTCTTTCCATGTGACTTTACCGAAAGAGCCAAAGAGCAATATAGAGGACTGCACAGCTGGGGCGATTGTTGATAACGCCGGCTCAGCATCGCCTGACTGTCGGTGCCTCTTCAGCGATTGCGAGAAGACGTTTGCATGAACGACAATGATCTAAAACGAAAACGTTCTTATGAGAGCTACAGATCTATAATACTGTATTGAAAACACTGGCGCAGTGGTTTGAACCTGGTCACCTCACTTCTACTTAAGTGGCGAGTAACATCTGACCTGGCGCTGCATTGACCAGTACGGTGAAGCATGGTCAAACAACCCACGTGACCGACACGGTGCGGGGATGCATTTCGTCCAACAGCGGATTGACAGAGGGATGTAAACTTCGCGCTTTATTACCATATGGATGTTCACCTATTTCTTACCCAGTGGAGCTTGGCATATAATTCAAATTGATGGACACTTGGCACACCGCTCAGGGAGCAGCGAGCTGCGGTTGTCGTTAATGAGATCATATTTAACGGTCATTACAAGGAGCCTGGTGGTATCTTCTAATTCTTCTTTCAAAGTCGGTCCAAGGAAAATGTGACAGAGTGCTCTCTCCATCGCTGTCGTCTCAGGAATGCACATTACCGTTGGACTTGCTACCATTGCACTCGGGTGGCACAATGGGTGGGATCTCGTTGAAGACACAAAGCCAGGCAGACTCCCCCAGAGTTTTTGCTGGAAGCGCAACTCACTAACGCAGCGGAGCTGCAGGCTGGGTTTTAACGAGAGGCTGAGCCATCCCTAGTGTCGATCGCCCCGGGCCCCGCACTTTTGGGGGGCCTCCACGCTTTGACGTCACGGGTGTCAGATATAACATTTTCGCTTTAGTTTTAAGAGTCGGTTGTGATTTGCCCCGGGCCCTGCACCCACCTAGGGACGGCCCTGATGACAGGAATAGTGTACAACGTGCTTGAACAAGAGCAGGTGATGCGGTATAACCAACGTGACCTCCAGTTGGGGCGCAACCACACAAGAATACGGACAAAAACAACCCGTGACATTTAATAAAAAAATTGTGTTTTTTTTTAGTCCGGGTTTTTCGCCTTTCAACAAGGCGAAATAAATGCCAATTATGCTGATGACAGACCCTTTCTATTGCACAGTAGTGCACGGACATTAGGCTCGATACTGTAGTCAGCAGCTTGTCGTTGGCATATATTTAATTTGTAATTAAAGTGCAGTAGAACTCCGAAGTGGGGGAGCAATTGCCAGGGATCCCATCTGTAATCTCACCCTTCGCTGAACACCACCCAACTTCTAAGGTAGTGGTTCTCAACCTTGTTTGGCGACTGCACCCCCCCCCCCACCCGCCTTGTTGAATTTTGTTTCAACCCAGTACTCCCCCGTGCCTGACCCCAACATGGTTCTGAGAAAAGAATGTATGAATAAGGAACATCAATATTTTCATCAATTTTCCATTTTGTGAGGTATTATAACTAGGCTAGTAGTTGCAAGCGAATAAAAAAAAATTCAACGGGCAATCCGCATGCATGACGTAATTTGTTCGCGCTCGCTGGAAACTCGCGCATTGTTTACGATCTATGAGTTTCTAAAGGTCGTTTTTATCGTTCTCGGTTACCATACGAATTTCAATTTGATCGTAGTTATTTCATATTGGCAGATTCATACATGATTATTCACCAATGACTCTAACGTGTGACATCGATTCACACAGTTCAACTCACTTACCCCCCTGGGACATTGACACGTAACCCCCAGGGGTCCCCATGCCCCCGGTTGAGAACCACCGTTCTAAGATATGGCTGTGCCCCTGACCTCCTAAATGACCTTTGGTGAGACACGTTGACCTCGCAGCTGGCTGTGGCCACAGCGACTCCACCGTGGGGTGCCGCCCTCAGCATTTGAACTCATCGCTCCAGTTCACGCAGTCCTGCACCGAGTCATTGCAGCGCGTGGTTGGGATGCAGTCGCAGTCCTGAAAGAAGACGGTGGCGCAGCGCCACCCGCCACACACGGGGCACTGCGACGCTGTGGGAGACACACGACAGCGTAGACGGGCGTCAGAGAGAGGACGACTCAAAACTGTCACGTGGTGTCTGGGCTGCTCAGAGGTCGCAGCGCCGAGATCCCATGGCATTGAGTCGACGCAGCTGCCTGCGATTGAACCGGGCTCTCATGTGGTGTGGGTCGAGGTGGTCGGTCACCAGTGACTGCACGACATTGTATATCCATATTAAATACACGCACACGGTTGTTTAAGCCTAATTTATAATTCGTGTAGAGTGCTACGTTCGGAAAATGACATGCTAATGTTCCATTAGGTAAATCAAACGAGACCAACTAAACAACGAGACGGTACAAACAACACGAAAGCTACAAATCAAGTTTAAAAACAAGCAATTATGGATTCTTAATTGAAATCGTGACACCCAAACTGTGTGTACAAAAACTGCTGTGACGTGTTTCCACCTCGCGAAAATTAGTTTCGCTCCACGACCTGGGAGCTTCTTCAGGAACTGAAGTTGGCATCTGTAGAAATTGAATTCAGTACCTGGAAAAGGTCCCACGCATGTGTCGGGAAACGTCGGACATCGTGCCAAACGGTGCTTGGGTACACCCCGAACGCACACTGGAGAGCTTCACGGGAGAAACCGCGAAAACCTCTCCAGCGGGGTTCAGCGATTTCCAATTACGAGCGGACAACTTGATTTGTGACTCTGCACTCTGATGATTGATCGTGATGACACCGAAAAGTGATGGAGATGACGTTTGCTGGGGATGAGTCAAAGGGAGGTGATGATGTGACTGTGAGAGCACAGAGAGAGAGAGCGCGAGAGAGAGAGCGGCGCTCCTGCACCTGTTTCGTCGGAGCAGTCCCCGCAGTCGTTGTGCATGTCGCACAGCTTGTCCGTGTACGTCCACGTCTTCCCGTCCCCGCACAGGAATATGATGGAACTCGGGAGGGTGTTGGCTGGGTCAGCTGCTCACGCCGACAGTCAAATTAGAGGCGGTTACGCAGTGTGGCAACGCAGGTTGGAACAGGGGAACAGGGGTATAGCAAATGCATTTAAAAAAACGTGCGTTTTTATTACTTGGGAAAAATGTTTCTTAGACCGATGCTGCCACATTGGTGTAACGGTCAGCACAATGGACTTTCAATCCAGAGGTTGCTGATTCGATTTTATCTCAAGGTGCGGCAGTTGACACAACAATAATTCACGTTTATATAGCTCCTTTCATCAAAAGATCACAAAGCGCTGCACAGTGATGCAAATTCCTTAACCCCCCCCCCCCGACGCCTCTGTCCACCCAGCGGCAGTATGAGGTCACTAGTCAGTCAATCAGAAGGTCACGTATGGTATGGTGAAGTGTGGGTACTCCTGCCTCTTCCAAGATGGGGCCTTCGAGAGCTCCCTGCAGACGATGCCCTGCCACAAGAAGTCACGTGGCCAAGCAGGCTGCACTTCCATCGCTCACCTTTACGGGATTATGCATATGCATCTCAGTGGTTTGGTGTTTTTGTTGTTGCGGTTGTTATCATGAATGAATATTTCTTACACTGCATAAACGAACAACAAAAAATGCCAACGTTTGAAGGCAGGAAAGAGCACAATGAGGTCTAGGATATGATTTGTGTGTTGGCAGAAAGCCACTTAAGCTGGCGGAGCTCTCCGCTGTGGCGGCACTAATGGAAAAGCACACAGAGCGAGTGCTCTAGCAGGATTAAATGGCCCCATGCCAACCCGTGAATCATGCCCACATGCCCTAAAAATGACCAAACTTGCGGAAAAAAATATTTCGCGGAAATGCATCAAAAGTTTTCCCGCTGCTCGTCCGGATGGCGTCCTGCGCACGGAAAATGTTTTCCTCCGAGTCCGGTTTCTCCGCAAACGGGGGACCGACTTGCGCATGATTAACGATTCGCCTTCGCACATTGCCATGAATATTTATTTACACCTCGAGCAAGTTGTGGCCAGCGAGTGGCGAGGGGTTCCGTGTGTGTTCATCATGTTGTTATGTTAGGCAGGAAAGTCCTTCTGGCCTTTCACGGTAGGCGGCAATGACTGCTGTCTAGATTCCAATTGAGTCATTTGCCTGCCACTTTTCTAATATGCAGCGTGACGCGAGCACGCAACAGCCTACTCTTCCGAACGACGTCACGGGATCTTTAACGTCCGCTGTGAAGCAGGCGGCCGCGTACTTCTACGGTTAATGCACCAGGCGGGGCGCTAGGAGGTGCGTCCGGGGGTGGGCGCTGTACCACCTCATGTCCCCTTTCCCCACCCACACAACATCTCCACTGGCTCCCCCATCCAAGAGCAGGCGGGGCTGGACCAGGACATCCACAGTAATAAACTAAAACGAAACTATTTTTTTTTATTTTACCAGGTAATGCCCACTGAGCAATATCGATCTTTCTCAGAAGCGACCTGGCCACAAATGATAGCACAACGAAGCTCTCATTATGTGAACATTTATAGCAGCCAAATTTTCTAAACGCATGTCGCTTCTAAACATGGAGAGGAAACCCGGAATACCCGGAGAAAAATACACCCGACCACGGGGAGAGAGACACGCAAACTCCACATATGCAGGCGTTAGGGTCGGTTCTTGAACCCACGACCTCCTGCAGACCAGGCGAGGAAGTTAACATCTCGCCACTGTGGTGCCGTAATAACCGGGGCGGCATGCCGGATTCGAACCGCGAACCTTTGGCACGAGCGTCGCCGCGACCGACTGTGGCGCGGCGTCCGAAGTGCACTCACAGCAGTACTGCGTGCTCTCGTCAGCGCCCCCGGTGCAGTCGGAGCGCTGGTTGCAGACCTTGGAGGGCGAGATGCAGGTGATGCGGTCGTCGCAGAGGAATCCCGATTGGTTGAGCGTCGTCTGACACTCGCGGTTCACTGAGGGAGCACACGCGGAGCACAGCGGCGGCACAAGTCTCGAGGAGCACGTGGTGCGCAGGGACGATCGCGGTGCGTGAGACGGATGTCGCAGCGTTTCGCCTTGCCACCCACCCGTTCCTGGTTTTCCAGGAGCATCTTTCTGTCCAGGGAAATCTTTAAAGTCTTCCCCGATGCATTAAAAGTCCCAGTTTTGTGGTAGTTGCGTAATAATAATAACAACAATAATTCACCACTCAAGGCAATTTACTTTCGTGAAGTTTTTTCCGAATTGCGGTTATTTTGAGATACTCAACTTCCCATGTCAGTCAGCAAACAAACTCCTGCTTGCTGTGCAGGCGAACGCTATGCTCTGGTCCGTGGAGGTGAAGGATTCTAAGACGCGTTGTATGAATGCGTGTGTGGTGTTATATAGTTGGAGCTACGGTGTAGTATTTTTAGTGCCAACCAACTAAAATTTGACCCCCCCCCCTCATTCCCACTGGCACGTCTCAGCCGAGCCAGCACGAGGCGCTTACAAAAGAGCAAATAAAAATCTGATTTAAAAACAACTGTCACTTGAGAAATCGAAAATATTGCACAAACACAAATCGGACTTTATTGTATTGATAAAATATATGGGTACATGTGTGTGGGTATGTGTCGAGTGGTATCATAACAATCGGCATGATGCTCTTTGAACCTTTTCGTAACGGGTTAGATTCCCACTCACGGCCAACACCGGTGACGATTATCTGCACCAGCCCTTGGTCGACTCAGCTTCAAATGAGTACCTGGTGCAATGTGTAAACAGCACCACTAAGGAGACAAAGGCGGCCGAACAGTGCTGGCCACCCACCCCCTCTGTGTGCTGTACTGGCCTTCCATAGGTCCTACTCACTAACAGCACTTGCCCCAAAAGTTTGCTAAGGTGAACGCGGGAGGGGGTAGGGGGGGGTTACCTCCGCTGATTTTCGGCACCCCAAACACCACCCCAAGCGCCACGGCCACCGCCACCACCGCCACCACCAGCAGGCAGATGAGGAGCAGGCACACACAGCGCTGTGTGCACCAGCGCTGACAGCCGCCCTCGCAGCACCCTGCAGTCAGTCACCAGCAGCCACCAGCAACACCGATGTCAGCAGTAAACCAAATAATAAGGTAGAGGTTCAGCTCTGCAATGTCTTGCTCACGCCCCTGCTGGCAGATGGGGCTTCCGTGACAAAACGAATGTTGTGGTACCGTCTCGCGCCCTTTGTCAATCCACTGCTGGATGACAAAGGGCGCTCTAGAGGCTACTTGGTCGACTCTTCCACAGTGGCTAGAAATGGGAGTAGGTACCCCACCACACACGACGTGCCGATTAACGAACTTGTGGTGTACACATTCACACTGCGGGGTGAACCTAGGCGTGGTGAGTGGGGGGGGGTTAACAAACTTGCCCCACTGCCTTGCCAGGAGATGGAATCGAACCGGTGATCTCTGGATTGCTAGGGACCTCACCTCACATGTGGATTCAGCAGTAGGGGGAGAGGGTGGTGGGGCGTAATCCTCCCCCTCCCCCCCGACACTCTAAAACTTGCTCTATTGATGTTTGGTATTCACGTGGGAATCGATTTAAAGAACTTGACATTTCGTCACCGCCGCGTCAATCCTCCCCCCCGTGAATTTTCCGATAGGGTCGCGGATTTGAGCGATTCTCCTGCCATGTCAGGCGCCACAGTTGCGAGATGTTGACTACCTCGTCTGGTATACAGAATATCGTGGGTTCGATCCTGACCCTGACGCCTGCTGCTTCTGTATATTTAGAGTTTGCGTATCTCTCTCCCCGTCGTCACGTGGATTTTTCTCCGGGCCCTCCAGGTTTTCCCCTCCACATTTATAATCAACATCACGCGTTCAGAGTATTTGGCTGCTATAAATACCCAATGTGATAAGCCACACTTCGTTGAGCCATCATCTGTGGCCAGGTCGCTTCTGAAAAAGAGCCGTATAGCTCAGTGGGCTTTTACCTGGTAAAGTAAGATAATGCGTTTATGGTTTGATATTAACAGCTGGCAGCGCAGACGCATTGACGGCCGCAGCAAGCGCGGGAGGCCTCGCCTGTCTCTCTGTCGAACGTGAGGGTGGAGTCGAAGGACTCCTGGGATGGCGAGCGGCTGCGCTGTGGGAAGAAAACCACAAGCACGAGAGAGCGCATGAATAAATCCCTGGTCAACAAAAAAAAAACATTTTTTTCTGGCCTGGACTTTTGCAGCTGTTTTAGACTAATTTCAGGGTGCTGATTCCAAATCTTATCTCAGATTTGCTCTATCACATCTCATTTTATGCTATCGGCATACCCCATTTTCATTGATTTTACCCGAAATTAACTCTGTCACTTATGATTGCAAGTTGTTGCGAGTCAGTGACTGCTTTAGTGTTAGAATATGGTGCTGTATTTTTAGGATAGTTGACATTTATAAGGGCACGGGGTGACCCAATAAGATCTGAATTGGTCTGTAATTAGGCACTGATGACGGGCTGCGATTGCCTCTCGATACAGGCCTCCTGTCTTCAAGATCCCATTGTCCAGTGGTCACGCGACTCTGGCAATTGAGTCACTTGCCTGCCTAACGCGCGTTTGACGAAGGGCCTGGCATCTATCCGAAGCCAATCGTGGCCCAGGAACATTCGCAAAGGTTTAACACCCACCAATTTACACCCTCCCTAATACGGTAGTGAGAATATATGCACCATTTATTAGTAACACAACCACACTGGTGACACTATGAAGAAGGATCATTGCCCAAAGCGTCGCCTCACATATGTTTCCTTGTTAAAGGTCACACGGGTTTTTTTTATTTTATCGACAGAGTGCTTTTTTTGCCCGTGGGGTCACGAGGGAGTGACGTCAGCGTGTGCGCGACTCTGCCCCAGCAAGTGTTTACATTGACAACGCATTCTCACTCCGGCAATCAAAAACAACAACAACAACAACGAAGCGAAGCAGACGTGTTGACATTCGTTTGTTTGCACGCTCACCGCAAGTGTGTGTTGTTAATGCAGTAACTTGATTCTTTTTGGAAAAGGTTTCTATTTGGTGTTTAAACATCTTAACACAATTGTGTTATTGCGAGAAAGGGTGAAACATATTCTTGTTTTTTTATACTTTGATACTGGCAAAAAGGTCCAATTTTGTGTTGACATTCGTTTTATAATGCAAAGCAAGCGATGTGTCAATTATTGCGGCGTATCGGTTCTTGACATATGCATTGTTGGCAACAGTGGAAGTTAACAAACTGATTAATGTATACTCTTTGATTAATACTCTTAGGTTTTTGTTTCTACAGTTATTTTGCTGTGCCTTTTTTACACCTGATGAAGGAAGCTTGTGTTGCCTCCGAAACGTCGTGATTTATTATTTTATTTCTATTTTTTTTACCTACGTGAGTACGTGACTTTACCGAAAAAAACCTATAAGTATGAATCCTTGCAGTCACGAAAGCTTCAAATCTAGAACTCTTTGATTAATGTAGTAACAGTCCGGAATGTATCCAATGCACCATATTTAATGTTTACAATCCTCGCCAATTGTTCAGGTATTTTGTTTGTCGCCCAGCATGTCTGTTGGGAAATGGTGTCGTGACTTCGTTTAATTTAGATGCGTGCAGTCTGGCGGTATGACCCGTTGCTCGTATTTACACATTCACTTCCTTTCTGTAAATTATTTGTATTGATCTAACCGGTAAGTGGGGGGTGGGTGTACAGCTTCCGTGACAGGTGAGTGGCGCATAACGGGATAGGCGGTTCGGACAGACAACCAACGTGGACGTGTAGGGCCGTAGCGTCATGTGGTGCGCGGTGTGTCACATCCCTTTTCTTCGGGAAGGAAGGGGGGAAGAGGGGGGGGGGGTCAGTCTCATTTCAAGTTCCATCAAGTCAACTTAGGGTATCTGGAGTGGCATTCACGAGAGGGCTCCAGATCTGGGCGAACTCCAACTTCCAGATTCCTCAGTTTCACACTCGGGTGTTCTAAAGCTGCAAGGGCGAGCCGGGAGTTGTGCCAGATGGTGAATGAGGGGCCCCATGATTCTTCCAGGAGCTCAGGATGGTCTTTCTAATCGAAATGTGAAATGCTTGGAGAAAGGTGTGTTGATGCCTGGTGATACTTTGGGGTTTAAGGTGCAGGAGTGAGGATTCAATGCTGGGCAGTATCTCGGTGCCAGCCATCATGTTGACAGATCGGTTATTTTATCATAGAATGTCCTAATAGTCCCAGAAGGCGTCATTGTACGTTTGCATATTCACTTTAATATCACCCATACCACACGATCCTGCACCTCCGATAAACGCGGTTGGCTACATACGGTGCGAAAGAAGTTCAGCATACATACAGTAGTATACAGTAGTACGTACACAAGCCTCGCCAATGTGATTGGCGCCGTGAAGCCTGTTCACTCAAAGACATTCAATCCTAACTGCATGGTCAGACATCCAATCCCAATTACATGGTCACCCATTCAGCGGTGTCCTCTCGTCAAGGCACACTATTCAAATACATTTTGCCTTTTTATAAGTCCATCGCAGTGTGCAAAAAAGGGGTGGGGGGGGGGGATTGCTTTGGTTTCCAGGTCTCGCTTCGTGTGTGGTGTGCGCGTGTGAGTCGACGCGCGTGGAGCCGAGTGTTGTTTTCACTGGGATTCAGAAGGAGGGTTTCCTAATCGCGTGTTTAAAGGCACGCCGAGCGAATTGTGTGACTTTGCCAATGGCTATCAAAACAGTTTCCCCACCCTACCCCCCCCCGTCAGTTAGCTTTGTCAGCGGGTATTGATTTTACTGAAAAATTAAAGGATAATAACAAAGTAGGATGAGCATAAAATTATTAATTCAATCACACATTGATTCATCATTGACTCCCCCCGTCCCCCAGGGAAAATCGACTATTTGTCACGATTCAAGTTCGTTATTCCACAACGGACTTTTAAAAATGTGTGGTAACTGTAGCGGCCTCTCGTGGAGGCAGCGATCAAGTGAACACATCACGTACAACATCCAGCAGAGGGATGACGAAACATTTCTATAGGCTATGACCCACACCATCATGAATCACGAGCGTAACAATCAATAAATCAGTGCATTGTTACACCTCTAATGTTTGAGTTCAGAACGGTGCTGGGGGCCGTCCATAAATGACGTCACGCACCTGGGGGAGGGGGGTCAGACATTTGTGACGATTTGTGACAATGGGGGGGGGGGGGGGTGAGAAATGTGACGTCACATCAAAATGCGCAACTTTAAATAAATATAGACAACACGTTCTACTTAATGAAATAAACATCAGAGTGCAGCACCACATTAAATACGCACTACAATGACAATAGTTTAAAGCGATTTGAAGCATGTTTTATTTGGGGGGGGGGGGGGGGGGCAGAAGTTTGTGACGTCATATTTGAGGGGGGGTCTGACTTTTTGTGACGCCGTGTGACGAAGGGGGGGGGGGGGGGTAAAAAATCGTCCAAAATCGCGTGACGTCATTTATGGACGGCCCCTTAACTACCAGGGAGAACTGTCATGGTGAGTCACGTGTTTACAAGTGTCTCCTTTTAACAACGGAATGTGCAATTTACTGCGGACTAAGTTAGTAAAAAGGCTAATCACTAGGCTATCTGGTACATTTCTACCTGAATGGTAACTATAACTGTAGCCTTATCCACTGCAATCTTCACCTTAACCCTGCCTCCAACCCACATAGTAAGTCAACGTCTTAACAATAACTCTAATCCCAAGTACAAGCCTTGTCTCTAACCTGCCGTAAACCTGACATTGACTCTAACCACAACTTAACGTAGAACGCGACCTCTCTCCCACATTTAAACAACATGCCAGGCCGTAATATCCTCTAACCATAACCCTAATCCCTAATGATATCCCTAATCCCTAAAACGAGGTCGGGTTGGGCTGGACCATCGAGTATCAATCAGGCTTTGTGCAGGCAGCTAGACCTGGTGTTGGGCCATCACTTGGCCAGTCCTGAATGTGAATGTCTCCGAGCCGGCAAGCCATTGAAGTGGCGTCAGAGGTGGAAGTGCCCCCCACTAAGAGACACACACAGGGCTGTGAAAAGAGACCCCGAAAGTAAATGCAAAACTATTCAGCGCAGTGCAACCACAGTTGACTTGCAAGACGAGGAGATTTACTCAGCCAGACAAAACACCAGAACTCATACGCAGGGGAAATGAGCAAATATTACCCCGGAAGGAAGAATAAGAAGAGCTGAGCTGACAATAATTTAAAGTTGGAGGAAATCAACGGGAGCTCCATCACAAGGGTGGCCAACCTTCCAGATTCTACTCGCGGTCACTCACCAAACATCCTCGTTTGGTCGAGAGCCACGAGGCACACAACATTCAACATTACATGCCGTAACAAAGTCAATCTTTCTTTGCATTCTAGTGTACGCGTGCATTTTTAACTAAAATCCCGTAAAGTTGAAGACTTCTTTCCCAACGTATTTGCAGTTGCTGAATATGCTTTGAGAAGAGCGTTATTAGTTCGTTCCATATATATGCCCCTAACCTTCTCCTAACCCATGTAGGGCCTGATGTAAACCTTAACCTCTGTACGTACGTATCTGCAACTTCTTTCGCACAGTACGTAGCCAACTGTGCTAATCGGAGGTGCGAAAACTCCTTAACCCAGGGGTCTAAATATGTCCGGGAGGAAAGCAAATGTTCGCTGGCGGGAACCGATATTCGGGGGAACCAAGATTCGATCCGACGAGGCCTCTTCGTTCCCTGAACCAACGAGAAGAAGCTTCTACGGGGCGGACACGTGGCACAGCGGTGGCACACACGCCACATTTTGCACATATTGCGGTTCGAGCCCAGTAGCAGCCATGGTTAATACTGCGAGTGTACCTGCCATAAATAGACGCTGTCTGCTTCACAGTGGACGTTAAGGGTCGTTGGGATATGAGGATGCAATGTGTGCAGCAACAACAACAAAAATGTCCCTAAATAATTTCTCACAAATAAGCTCAGTGGGTGAAAGCACGGAGCGACATCGTCCCCCTACCATCGGAGATTTAATCGGTCTGTGACACACAGCGCCTTCGGAAGAATAACACGAACACCAAATGAACGTAATTTTCATGAATTATTTAACGATGTCTTGCGCACCGCGACTACAAAGCTCTCCACCCCCGCCGTGTCTTCTCCACACCGCACTACGCCACCATCCACCCATCTTCTGTATCCGGTGAACTCTCAGAGCAATTACTCTGGACGCAAATTGGGACACTATATCGCGCAGGCACTTCATAGCCGTGGCCGCTTGTGTTTAAACAGAGGTGCTATTTCTTCTTTTAATTTGCTTGTCTGTGTTTAGTGGTTTTGCTCGAGATGTCTGTCCCGTGTCGGCACGGCTCGTTACGGGACTAACACTGCCGCGTTACCGGGTGATTTATCTTCAGATTCTGTTTTATGTCGCCGTCTTCGTTTCGTTACCTGGCAGGCAACAGCTGATAAACGTCACGAGTCACGAGTGTGGCAATAAACACCCGCGTGCGTTTCATTCGCCATCTCGAGTTCATGAAAGTTGTCAATTCTCTTGATCATTAAAAGCAGACTCGGCCTAAATTATCGACGTGCGACAACAATGCTCTCAAAACCGGCCGCTTGTCTCTGAATTGGTCCACATCTGCGGCACACTCTCACCGCCACACTCCTGGCCCTTGCTGGAAGCAACACGAAAGGACAACGCCAGATCTGTGCACTCGGCGTTAGGCCGGCAGAACAGGCAGTGCCGGATGATCCTCGTAGCAAAAGTAGCTACACGTGCTACGGGCCCCAAACTTTCAAGGGCCACGCGCTAAATGCTTTCAAGCTATCAATTCCTGGTTCAGTGATTCTGCACTTGCTTTACTACTATAGTACTATACCGCCTTTAACTTTTATGAACGACTGGGTGTTTAAGGTTAGCGATTTGTCGTATTATCTGGCTTCATGGCAAATGAAAATATACCATTACTCTACAATGCAAGTAAAAAATTGGTGTTTAAATGTTTTTAAATTTAGGGCCCCTTTATAACAACATATGCTACAGGCCCCGCATTAGTTTGATCCGGCACCAAGCAGAGGCCTCAAGTTTTGAGGACTGCCGACACCTCGCGGTTCTTAATGGTTACCCTGCGCTTTTGCTCATTGTCCGGAAAGTTGCCCCCCCCGCTATAATTAATTGATAGATACGATCCATTATCGTCATCGTCAGCCATGGTACTGTCGACCACGACACGTAGCCATGCAAAAGCAGTCGGGCACCTACTGCACCGCTTCCCCACGTGACTCGCACTCAAGATCGAAGTAACGCTCACGATAGCAGCGAGAAGTCGAGATAATGATAATAACGATTCGAGCGATGGTCTGATCACAACTCTGGATAACAATGTTAAACTCACATACGACGCGTGGTGCGCTGTAGGTAATAGAAGTTGAGCGTGCGATACTGTGGCTGCTTCACGTGGGAGTGAGCCTTCTCTCGTGGCTGGTAAAATTTCGTCGTCAAAAAAGAATGTCCCCATGTCTCCGTCACCAACAACGGGGAAAAGGCAAAAGGACAAATTTGCCAAGAAGACACTCAGTCCCTGTTGGTCCCAACACCCTCAATGCACCCGATCTTGTCCTATCTTGGGCTGAGCGAGGTTAGTACTTGGATGTGAGACATGCTCAGTAATTGGATCAGATAATACGAGGTGCCGGAGGCCTGCGCTGTGTGGTGGCAGGATGAATGCTGTACAGCAGTAGATTTAATTCATCTGTACAGAGGTGTCAGTGTAATCCTTTCGTATAGGAGAGTGTTTTTCTAGATACTCTTTTTTTCCTCCCACACGAAGCGACTTATTCATGCCATCAGTAAAACATGCCAATGCAGGACCATTATTACACATAGTTGAGACTCGGTGAGGCTTTCCTGGATAAGGGCCATTGATTGTATGACACACTCGGCACGACCTCCCAAAATCACTGTAATTCTCTCGTCTCGGCACTATTCTTTGACAAGGATTCTGCTGTTTTCCAGTCGCGTCCCTCCCACAGACATCGCGACCTGTTCAGCGAACGCGCACGTCAACTTTCCTTTGCTCACGGTTTTACAGAGGCCAACTTCGAGCCTTGAACATCCATAATACAGGTTTGTTTTTTGGGGGTTAGATCGCGTAAATATGTAAATGTGTCGTTAAACCCGCCACCACCGATACAGACAATTAGTAAGGTTTTTCACGTAAACAGAACATGCCAATTCGTTACGAGTACAGCAACACCGGTGTGTTGGAGAGCCAAGCCATTCTTCTCGCATCTAACATTTCCTGGTAATATTACATTTGTGTGAATTGTGCATGATTAATAGTATGTAAGATGATGATGACAGTGATGGTGATCGTCCTCTGTGCCACAATTCATGAACCACAATATTATACTTAATTACTCGCCGAACGCGGGGTGGTTACGTTCCTGGAAAATACCGTGTTGGGCAAAACCGCGTTCAACAAATAGGATACCTTAATGGGGAAAATGTTTGCGTTCCTGGGTCTGAAATGATCACCCCTTCATCTTTTGCGATGCCACGATGTTGTGTAGCTGTAAATTAATGACTACCCTTTTATTTTGCGAGCGTTTGATGCACCTCCCCGGTCTCTGTAGTCACCATAATCATGACGGCGGTGTGTGCGTGTGTGGTTCCTTGAGGTTAACTTAAGAACTCACCTTGCTCCGCGAGGGATGAACTCGATTGGATTTCATCTCTCCGTGCGGTCACCCCAAGGGCTCTACTACTACAGCACCAGCCGCACTCTATCAGTCCCAAAAGTACTTTTGATTATCAAAAAAAACCACGATTTTTTTTTACCAACACACTCGAGAACATAAACCAATTTGAATTTTAAATCGCACCTCAGGATCGCCTGTTATTCATTAAACGCGAGGTAAGATTTGAGAGCCGATTTGCAAAAAACTGATTTCGAGCACACACGCCACACACAGAAATGACGCGACTGTTTGGTTTGAAGGTTACTCTTGGTTTCTAAGGAACTGCAGCACAAAGGCAGTCTTGCACAAGTTCCTGACATTGTTGATTTAAAGGTCTCCCCCCCCCCCCAACACCACCTGCAGTGCTTCCCCCACCCCATACTCCAACAGTTGGCAGGCATACTGATAGGACGTAGTGGGTCTACGCCGACACACAATCGTCCCGACGCGCTGTGCGTGTGTGGGAGCCACTGCCTTTGCGGGTGAGTCACCGGGTGTAAAAGCTGCCCCCCCATTCAAGCCTCTCTCATCTCTGTGCATCCAGCACGTGGAATATTCCAGCAATACAATCACACGGGGAGGAAGAGCGCACGCGTTCATCTCGCGCAATCTTCCGTGCGCGGGATCCACATGAGCAAAGCCGTCCCGAGGGTACAGCGACTCGGGAGGGCTTTGGCACCCCCCCGCCTCCCACGCTTCTACATCACGGTGTCAGATGTCAATGCAGTTTGTGTTGAAGGGGTCTGGAGACCCACATGGTGGGATTTGCTCCGAGCCCCATTACCCGCCCCCTCCTATGGTTGGCCCTGCACATGGGAGTGTGTGTGTATTATTATGGATGTCAGTTTAACACGCGACTAATAACCTCCGTTATACAGGTTTTGTTTTGGGTTAGATCGCGTAAATATGTGTCGTTCAACCCACTACCACCCACGTAAACAGAACATGCCAATTCCTTACGAGTCCAGCACACCGGTGCGTTGGAGAATAAATCCACATTTACAATTTGAGTACGACGTTTCGCCAGTAATTACAACTAGCTTCATCAGGCGACAGCCAGATCTGGATGTCGCATTTAAATATTTACGCGATCTAACCTAAAAAAAAAACCCTGTATTATGGATATTATGGATGTGTTTCCGAGTTTCAAGTTCATCTGGAAAATCCATACATCAGGCCAACAACATACGACAATTTTGGATAATCCGGAGAGAGGAAAAATAAGACAGTTTCGAATTTATCCGAACAAGTGACATCACTTTAATGTCATCACATCCGTGCTTTTGTTCATGCGATGCCACGTTAAATAATGACGCAATGTAAAGGATCTGACATTGCCCTCTAAAATCTGAAATATTGAAGTCTTAAACTCATCCTCGCGTATTTAAGAACATGAAGTGTCCCCTTTGTATCTCCTCGGCCTAAAGATGCAGCAGCATAACCGTGCATTTGCTTTAAAGGCTGAAATGTGGTTGCACATGCTGTTGTGTAATTAATTGGCACATCTCTAAAGCATGGATGAGGGGCTCTTTCATTGCCGAGGTCTTAATAGCACTTTTAAATACAAGTGGCAATTACCCAACAACAACCGCCGTTCACTACTAAGTAGCGTTGACACCACCACGGCACTTTGTGCCATGCTAGGTGCACTTGGATGCCACGTGAAGTATCGAAGGCCCGCTGGCGGGAGATCAAGGTACCATGAGTTGAGTGAGATGACTGCCAGATGCAACACCTGTGCCCCCTACTGTGCCAACTTTCTTCGTTTTAGCTGCCCGGTGCTCCGCTCGTTGTTGTGAGCATCACGCCTCCGCCCTCCGTCGTTGTTGGAGGGCGACTGCCTCCCAACTGCCCAGTCGCGTCCTTCACGAGTCTCCTCCAATCGAGGCCAATCTTGGCATAATAACAAACACACACACATCAGTACACAGAAAACTGAAGGAAAACAATGGGAGAGACGAAATCACAGCATTAGGCTATGTTCTACTCGTGTATGGATAGCCAGTGCTGTCGTGTTTACAAAATATATATTTGACCATGAGCCCAGACCAAACATTTCACTTCTCCGGTACCACTTGAGGTGGCATAACTTTAGTAATTCCAATGTCCTTATGTGGGCCAATCTCAATGAAATACGTGATAACCATTTGAAAGATTGGGTTATCAAGTAATTCACTCGTATTGGCCATACAATTACATGGCTGCAACGAGGGATGTTGCTATCTTAAGTGGTTCCAATGTATGCCGCGGCTCACAGACCAATACTCAGACAGGGATAGAGACCCAAAGCCAGCGTCAGGTCCCAACACCTAAAACAGGGGGAACAAGAACCCAATATTGACACGGGAAGAAGTAATTGGCGTCTAGGAAAGGCCCCCCCCCCAGGTGTGTTTGTGTTTATCCTCATTCACTCATGAATGAAATTGCCCAGATGTTCAACTTTCATATTTTACATCCTCCACTCTATCATTTGAGAGCACATCGGGGAATTGTGTTTGTATTTACATTTTTGTCAATAAATCAGTTGTGTGCCGATGCAAGACTTTCTCATTTTTTACCGCGGCACTGTAGCTTGTAACCCATCTGTGCAGACTTGTGCAAATTGATGAACGATTCTCCCTCGTGTGTGGATTGTCCTCAAGTCTCGAAGTCTGCTTTCCACCCTCATTCAAAATCTAATCATTAAAACGGGACGTGGCCAAATTAAGTAAATTCAGCACTCTGAGGATGAAGTCTTAAAACTCATACTCTTTGGTTCTTTCGGTAAAGTCACGTTGGTATAAAATAAAATAGATCACGACGTTTCGGGCGCAACACAAACGTCGTGATCTGTTTTATTTTCTACCTACGTGACTTTACCGAAAGAACCAAAGAGTATGGATTCCTGCAGTCACGAAAGCTTCAAATCAAAATCTTAAAACTCAGTTGTGGATTTATAGTTCTGCTTTTCCTTTGCGTTATTTTACGAACAATGCTGTTGTGATTTTTCCCAAAAAAATGTCAAAAGTATGTTTTCATATGGATTTATTTCGGATGTATGTTGGACTTCTTTCGCACCGTACGTAGCCAACCGCACTCATCGGAGGTGCGAGAAGCCCTTCCACGCCAGGGGTCGACAACTTGTGGCTCAAATTTCGATTTGAAGCTTTCGTGACTGCAGGGATTCATCTTCTTGGTTCTTTCGGTAAAGTCACGTAGAATGGAAAAATTAAATAATACAAATAAACATAATAAAATAATTCTCACGACGTTTTGGCCACAACGCAAGCAGCCGTCCTCAGGTGTTCTTCAGAAGACAGAGTCATTCAGACTCTGTCTTCTCATTCAGACTTTGTCTTCTCGACAGACCTGTTCTTCACCTGAGGACGGCTGCTTGCGTTGTGGCCGAAACGTCGTGAGAATTATTTTATTATGTTTAATTTGTATTATTTTATTTTTCCATTCTACGTGACTTTACCGAAAGAACCAAGAAGATGAATCTGTGGCTCTTCAAGGACTGCTTCGTGACGTTCTTTACCAAGGGCCACCGTCTCGTCTCCACCACTCGCAGCTCTTGATAAACACTGAGTTGTCTTTACAGACCCCTGGGCTCAAGCCCCAACCACGAACCCTTACCTGGTAAGATAACAAAAACACGGTTTAGTTTAATTTGTAAATAGTAAGTAAAACTCTGTTTTATATAGAGCCGTTCATACAAGGCCTCACAGCTATTTATATATAACACAATACGAGTAAAACACATTTCTACATAGAGATATAAATGTTTAAGTGATTTGTTTACCTTTCATATACTTTGCACTCCTATCGTATTTTTTTGCATTGTTCATAATACAGTTTTTTTGGATTAGATCGCGTAAATATATAAATGTGTCGTTAAACCCGCCACCACCCGACACAGCCAACTAGTGAGGGTTGTCACGTAAACAGAACGTGGCCAATTCGTCACTAGTACAGCACACCGGTGTATAGTGTAGTAGTGTAGTGTATAGTAGTGTAGTATATAGTAGTGTATAGTGTAGTATATAGTAGTGTAGTGTATAGTGTAGTATATAGAGTATTGTATAGTCGTGTAGTATATAGTGTAGTGTATAGTAGTGTTGTGTATAGTAGTGTAGTGTATAGTGTTGTGTATAGTCGTGTAGTGTATAGTGTATAGTAGTGTTGTGTATAGTGTAGTGTATAGTGTAGTATATAGTGTATAGTGTATTGTATAGTGTAGTATATAGTGTATAGTGTAGTGTATAGTGTAGTATACTAGTACAGCACACCGCTGTGTTGGAGAGCCAAGCCACAACATTAACAATCTAAGTACGACGTTTCGCCAGTAATCACGCGACAGCCAGATTTTGCATTGTTGTTGTAACGTTCTGCCCGCCACCCGGAGTAGACATCTGTGTGAAAGAGCTTCACAGCTCATCGGATTCCTCCCTGCAGTAGAAATATTCAGAAATGAACGATTCCGATTCCGGCAAAATTGGAACCTTCGAGAATCGAGGAAGGAATCGATCCATCACCATGGCAACGCGCGACTCAGAGACAGTAGGTACAGTAGCTGCGTCGCCTCGACTCGTGGAGTAGCGGCGAGAACGATGCAAAGACAAAGAGATAATTCAGTGCAAATAGATCGATAGGGTGACGTTTCAATAGAGCAATAGACTCACGGGCTGACGAACATACCGGCCGTGCGTTCGACGAATCGAGCAAGAGTTGATGCGTAATCGAGTGGGATAAGTCTTGGGCGCTGCGTTCATACTCGAGGCGGTGATTCTCAGCGGCGTGACCACACGGGCACAGCGAGCGGTAGGCCAAGGGTGGTGGTGGTGGTGGAGGGCCTCTTGCCTCCTTCTCCGTGTGCGCGATGGAGGACGTGGCGCTGAGCTCCGCGGGAGCCCGGGTCTCCCTGGCCACGAGCAGCGACGAGCGACACCCCGCGGAGAACGTGACGGACGGGTGAGAGACCCCGGGAGGAAGAGTCCCGAGTACACTTCAGTTCCACTGTGGTGGGCACCGGCGTGGTGAAGTATGGTCAGACTACCCCCCCCCCCCAAACCGTGGTGAACACTTTCATCCAGCAGTGGATTGAATGATTGAATGACAGCTGAGTGGACTTGGTTGGGGAGCGGTGGGGCAGTGGTGTGCGCAGCGCGTGATCGACCGCTGGGGAGACCCGGTCACGAGTTCACTTCATTTTCACTGTCGTGGTAACCGGCGTGGTGAAGTATGGTCAACCAG